TGAAATTAAAAGATGCTTACTCCTTGGAAGGAAAGTTGTGATCAACCTAAAAAGCAGGACATTAAAAAGCAGGACATTACTTTGCCAACAAAAGTCCGTCTAGTCAAGGCTATGGTTTTTCCAGTGGTCATATATGGATGTGAGAGTTGGACTGTGAAGAAAGCTGAGCACCGAAGAATTGATTATTTTGAACTGTGGTGTTGGAGAAGATGCTTGAGAGTCCCTTGGACTGCAAGGAGATCCAGTCCATCCTAAAGGAGATCATTCCTGGGTGTTCATTAGAAGGACTGATGTTGAAGCTGAAACTTCAATACATTGGCCACCTGATGCGAAGAGCTGACTCATTTGAAAAGACCCTGATGCTGGGAAAGATTGAAGGTAGGAGGAGAAGGGGACAACAGAGGATGAGATGGTTGGATGGCATCACCGACTTGATGGACATGGATTTGGGTGAACTCTGGAAGTTGGTGATGGACAGAGAGGCCTGGCATGCTGCGGTTCATGGGTTTGCAAAGAGTCGGACATGACTGAGCAACTGAATTGAACTGAACTCTGCTTCCTGGCATGCTGCAGTCCACAGGGTTGCAAAAGGTTGGACTTGACTTGGCTACTGAACAACAACTCTGCTTCCTGCAGTGAGGCTGCCTCTCTCATTAATTTCCAGGTTGGAAAAAAAATTAAATCAAAATTTCCAGTCAAATAAACTAGATTGAACAACAACAACAAAACCAAAAAAGAGCGACAATAATAAAAATGTCAATAACTGACATTTATTGACTGCTCAGCTTTGCAGGTACAGATGCTCAGTACTTCATAGAATTACTCGTTCAGCCCTCTTGATCCCTGCAGAGTAGGTGCCCTGTGATCCCGCTTCTGTGCAGGTGGTAAAACACCCTGCCAGTGACCTGAGCTCAGACTCTCACCTGCCCTTAGTTAACACCGCAGGCAAGTTTCACACTCACACACCTCAGTGGCACTATTGTGATGTCAATTCTGTAACAAAGTATTACTGTGGGGGAAAAACTTTTGTTTTTACCACAACCTGCCAGAGTTGAACATACATTTCTATTTTTATTTATTTTTTGGCTGCACTGAGTGGCATGAAGGATGTTAGTTCCCACACCCCCCTACAGTTGAAGCTCTGAGTCTTAACCACTGGACTGCCAGGGGAGTCCAGAACATACATTTTTAAATTACAGGGACGAGGATATGTGGGACTGTGGCAGAAGAAGCAGACAGAGATGGAGCAGAGGAGGCACTGGGGGAAGCAGAGGTGAAGCTGCAGATCCAGGCAGAGAAGCGGCCTGTATGAAGGCCGCCAAGCCCCCACCTGGTCTCGTTCTCCACCGGCCCAGTCTTCAGCTGCAGCTTTCTCTTCCCGTGTTAAGCACTGATCACTGCCTAATCTAATGCTTTCCATCTTTGTATCAAACTTTCCAAGGCCCTGGACAAATTCCACCCCGGCCCCCCCTCACCTCCTGCCATCCACCCATGGCATGTCCCCTGCCCCTACTCACACACCCTGTGCTCCAGACTGCACTGCCTGGAGTGGAAGCCACTGGCCACCTGGGGCTGTGAGCCCAGGAAATGGGACCAGTCTGAACCAAGGTGTTGTGTCAGTATAAAAAACACACTGCATTTCAAGGACAGTATACAAAAAGTATAAAACAACTCAATATTTTAAATAGATATTCTATGACAAAATGGTAACATTTGGTATATACTTCGTTAAATACTAGATTTAATTATATTTGATTCATCTGTTTTTCTCTTTGTAAAATGTGGCTATTAGATAATTTATAATGACTCTGTGGCTCATATTATATTTCTATTGGATAGCTCTGCTATAGATAAGTTATTACATTTCCTAAACCCTCCAAACCCTTCCCTCCCTCTGCACTTGCACCCACGTTTGTTTTTGCCTAAGATGTTCTCTGTGGGTCTCTGCCTGTAGGCTGTTTGTGCTTCAGGGTCCACCTAAAGGAGGCCCTTCCCAAACTCATTCCTTTCCTCCAGGCAGACTTTGTCACGTCTTCAGTCACTGCATTTTTATGAGTAGCTGTTACACTTTCATGTTGTTTAATTATTGTTTGCAGTTATGAGCAACTGGAGGTCCAGGCAGCGTTTTTTAAGAAACATTTATTTATTTGGATTGCCAGGTCCTAATTGTGGTGTGCAGGATCTTTGATCTTGTTGTTACATGTGGGATCCAGGTCCCTGATGAAACCCAGGCCCCCTCCATTGGGAGTGCAGAGTCTTAGCCTCTGAACCACCAGGGACGTCTCCCAGGCAGTGTTTTATTTATCTGTCTTCAGCAGTCTGAGTTCCCATGTCATCAAATGAACTAGAGTGTCATCTAGTGAATAAAGTGATAGAAGAACTATCACAAGATAAAGTTTGATTGACAAACGAATTGTTTAGAAAAGAATTCTTCTAAGAGGTCCAAGGAGAGAAAAACTGTTAACTTCCTCTATGGACATTTATTTGGCACATATGGTGGGGACGGTGAGAGAGGGAAGAAGCATTTGCAAAAACCTGTGAATATGGTGCATCTGGGGAACCCTAAGTCAGTCTGCTTGGTGACGAAGAGTGCAACTGGGTGTGAGCCAGATGGAGTCAGAAGCAGGGAGCTGAAGTGCGACACCTGCTGGATTGCTGGCTGCAATGGACGATGGATGGGTCAGGGCTGGCGAGGGAAAGGATGAGGAAGAGAGTTAAGACACAGTGATCGTGACAGGGGTGTATGACTACACTCAGGAGGGGAGAGAGGAGTGCCAGGGCCAGGCCAGGTCATTCATGCAGTGGGCGTGTCCATGACTTCATCTAACGCTGTAGCTGACCGCCTTATCCTCAAGGCTGAAGCCTTTCCAGTATCAGCTGTTTTCTCAGCTGACAAAGACAGACCCAGTGGTTAAGAGAATTAACTTTGCTGTCAGATCATCCCCCAGCCTAGCTTCCAGAACAGGCGACTAAATTAATCTTTCTGGCCCTCAGGCTCATCCTGTGAAAAACAGTAACATGTCTGTCTCACAGTAATACTAGGAGAATTAAATGAATTATCAAGGGGGAAATTTTCAGTTTGGTGCCTCCTTTGGAGTAGTCCCTAAGTAAATCATAGCTATCACTGAAATTACCTTTCCTATTTTTGTTTCCTGTTTGGGTCTTCCTAAATGCTGTAGTGAAAATGAAAAAGGTAGTACTGGAAAGTTCAAAACCAGAGGACAATTAAATATAAAAGGCCGATTGGATCTGATACTAATTTCTTTGGCAAGCAGCCAAGAAAACGGCTTTTATATCTGAAGGGAAGTAGATCCATAAACCATAACAGTATGTGACTCAAAAACACAACGTCTGCAAAATTGCATATCTACAGCAAAACCATGACATCAAAAGTTGTTCAGTTGCTAAGTCACGTCCAACTCTTTGTAATCCCATGACTGCAGCACACCAGGCTTCCCTGTCCTTCACTCTCTATCAGAGTTTGCTCAAATTCAAGTCCATGGAGTTGGTGATACCATCCAACCATCTCATCCTCTGCCACACTCTTCTTTTGCCTTCAGACTTTCCCAGCATCAGGGTCTTTCCCACCCATCAGGTGGTCAAAGTACTGGAGCTTCAGCATCAGTCCTTCCAATGTATTCAGGGTTGATTTCTTTAGGATTGACTGGTTTGATCTCCTTGCAGTCCAAGGGACTCTCAAGAGTCTTCTCCAACACCACAGTTCAAAAACATCAATTATTTGGTGTTCAGCCCTCTTTATGGTCCCTTCATGGATCACAGCCTTGTCCTGGGGAAGGGGCTTAGGCAATTCAACAAAGTTATAAGCCATGCTGTGCAAGGCCACCCAAGATGGATGGGTCGTAGTAAAAAGTTCTGACAACACAAAACATGGTCCACCAAAGGAGGGAATGGCAAACCACTCCAGTATTCTTGTCCTGAGGACCTCATGAACAGTATGAAAAGGGAAAAAAACATCAAAAGTACAGGCCCCCTAATAACACGCTCACGGATGCGCTCCTTAGCACAAGATTTGAGTCCTCTCTTTCTCTCTACCTGTAAGTGAAATCCTTTCTAAGTAACACTTGCATGCTAAACTGAAGCGAAACATTCGCAGAATCAGAGCTACATGTCAGTTACAATGTGCATCACGGGAGTAGGACCCATCCCTCTCTAGTCTTGCATGCTTAAGGTTGGCTTTTATGTTAACCTTAAAATAGTTGTGATAAAATATTATAAACGTGAGGTGCAGACTAGTGCCTTAATATCTCATTCCCCTTGTCGCCCGTTTTGTGTAAAAGTTGAGTTTTTCAACAAATACTTTTTCAGACACTTTGTGATTCCTACCAATCCTGCCCAGTAGCAAAGGGCAATCGCGGGCAGAGGACTCGAGAAGTGCGATCCTCCGCGGAAGGAGAGCGCCCTCCGCCGCCCGTCCGGACCGAGGCTGGGTTCCGCTCCACTTCAAAAGGCGGGTTTGCCTGTTTCCCTGCAGCAGCTCCCGTTCTGCTCGGCTGCGTTCCCGCCAGAGAGCCGCTGGGCAGAGCTCCGGCCGCGCTCAGCCCTGCTCCGCACGCCTTTCCCCTCCTCGGACCCCACGGGAATAACGGCCCGGCTGTAGCTCAGGGCTTTCCGGGCCCGCCGGTCAGTTGCTAGGAGACAGGAGGGCGCAGGCGCGCTGGGGCGGCCGCGGGGCACGCCCGGCCGGCGGTCTCTCCGTGCTCTACCGCCCAGTCTGTCGGTTGCTAGGAGGTAGGGCGGCGCAAGCGCGTTAGGGGAGGCCGCGCAGCTGCGCCGTCTACCAGTTGCTAGGAGGAGGGGAAGCGCAGGCGCGCTGGGGGCGGCCGCGGGGCACGCTGGGCCGGCGGTCGCTCGGTGCTCAGCTGCCCCGCCTGCAGGTTGCTAGGAGGCGGGACGCCGGCTGGGAGTGCGGGAGCCCGAGCGTCTCTTCCCCGGCCTGGCAGGCAGGAGGGCAGCGCGGCCTCCGGGGCCTGCGCGCGGCGATGGAGCCCGGGAAGGTGGGTGCGGACGCCACGCCGGAAAGCCCGTGCCCGCCGGGGCCGCCCCCTCCTACGGGGCGGGAGGCGCCCCGGAGCTGCGCTGTGGGACTGTAGGAAACTTACCGACGTGTCTTATTTCCCAACGGATACATGGGGGCGGTACGAGTAGGGCTGGATGAGGTTCTAGACGTTAAAGTGCTCAGGACGGTGTTACTAACTCAGTAAATGAGCTCTCTCGTTCTGCTTGTCTGTGGATTCCCGTAAAAGATGAGTTAGTTTGCATGCATTTCCCTCCTTTTTTTTTTTTTTTTGGTCTTCTGTCATTCACTTTTATCGTGTTAGTAATATCGATTAGGAGTTAGCGCATCAACTTCCTGACTTCTGTCATCTACTGCACCGGTTCTTTACATTTTCATAAGTTATTCTGTAACCTGTTTTCTCTGATTTGTTTATAGGAAGTTTTAAAAGTTGTGTTAACCAAACTGTAGAAAAGGAGACTTGATTGAGGTTAAAACGTGTCTATTTGGCCTATGTTACTACTGCGGCTTGTCTATTTGGCCTATGTTACTACTGCGGCTTGGGAGATACAGATTCAAGCTCTTGAACTGTGTTCCCTGATTGCAAAGTGGGAGAGGCTTGTAAAGGCAAGAATTTACAATGTTACATTTAGCTGCTTGAGTTGCTTGTCAGGAATTATCATGGAGCTGGGAGGAGATGAGGGCTTGCTTGGGGTCCTTGCAGCTGGTAAGTGCTGTCTGATCGCTGTTGGTGATCTTGGGTGTGGTGCTGTTCAGAGAAAGTTCAATTTCTCAATGCTGCGGGGTAGGGTCTGAGGCCGGATCCTCAATGGTCACCCCTTTTGTTTGCCTGAACTGGGGTCACTCCATTATAATGTCTGTTTGTCATTGGTTGTCATATCGTGATTATATAAGCAGAGTTCACACAGAGTCCACTGCAGAGATAGGTTGTGTGATTGGACTAAGCAGCTCTTGCTGCTCAAAGAGCGATGTGGGCATGTATATACCTATATATAGGTAAGCAGGACAGGTTCATTGGCATATAAGTTACACTTGGATAAGGTGGTTGGAAGTTCTGCTGTTCAGGCATCTCTTATGGGGTTTTCCTTTGTTTTCAGGGTGCGGTTTATTCCTCTCGAGGGGGAAAAGCACTGCCTCTCTACTTTATTTGCCTTTATCTGCCTCACGGGATGGGCTGAGCAGAGGGCAGGAGGCAGGGGCTCCTGGTCTGAAGCCAGTGGCCAAGCATATGCAGGGTGACACCTGGGGTTGTGATGGGCATGAGGAGCTCTGTGTCATTTTACAGTTTAAAGCATTTAAACGAGAAATTTAAAAAGGAAAGGAAGAAAAGCATCAGGATGAAGTAAGGCCCGAAGCCAGGTTTTTGTTGGTGAAAATGTTAGAGGCAGCTGGAAAATCCTGGGGTCTCTGATCTGTTGCCTTGTTCTTTTTTTTTTTCTTTTTAACTTTATTGGCGTAAGTAATATAATTACAACCATTAAGAGCCCTGATCCAGTGGGTTTTCCACATTGGATCACATTCCTGCAGGTGCCTTCCGCGGGTAGAGGTCTTGGACCCCACTGCCTGCTCCAGCAGCAGTGCACGCTCTCTGTCGGCTTTGGGCCATTTGTTTGGAAAAGATCATGTATTAAACCTCTCTAAAGAGCAGTTAACTTGAAAGAAAATGTTTTTAAGTTCAGCAGCTGCAGGTTGTAGTGATGCTAACTGTTGCTCACCATCCTCACCATGTCTTATTGTGCACTCCTTTTGTTGAATCCACCGATTTATCAGAAAAGAGTACGTGTTCCACTGAGAGCGGAGAATGATGCCCTTTCTGCTTGTGCTTTGGCAGATTCTTGACCTTGTTGCTTTTTATTTCTCCTTAGAGTGTTATGAACTGTTGTGAATTTTTCTCCTGCTTTCTTCATTTACACATCACCAGGATGATTTTTGGTGGCTGATCCATGAATGTGTTTTTGTTTTTTATTTCCACTCCATTTGCTTTAAATTTGAAACACACCAGGTCCTCCTGTATTTATGCTCTTAAGGCAGAGTTTCTCAAAGGCAAATGACGTAGTTAGGATAGGTTTGTCTTGTTCTCTATAGGAAACCATCCTTGACTGGTTTCTGCCATCACCCAGGGCACGCAGCTGGCGCCTTGTGTTGTGGACTTGTTGCTGTCAGCACCTGAAGAGGCATCTGCGGGGCAAACCTCCCACTGAGGGGTCCGCTGTGGGTCTGCCTGGGGAGGTGGGGCTGGGTGTCTGCACTGGGTACGAACCTCGGAGCAGCAAGAATACAGGGTAGCCTGTGATCACTTATGGGTAACTTAGAAAATATCTGTTTATGATACCTTTTATTCTTATAGGCAGACAATAATTTCTGGCATATCAAGGATTGCCATTGACTAAAATGGTCTAATGAAAAAGCAGCTCACTGGAGCATAAAAAATTAGATGTTTTAAACTCTAAAATTAAATTCTAACTCTATACTTTTCTTTTTAGAGAAGAACCAAAGATGATACTTGGAAAGCAGATGACCTCCGAAAACACCTTTGGGTAGAGTATATTTTAAAGATTTGGGGAAAGAAATTTTGAGTTTGGGTCTGTGTGGACCCTGGACGGTAATCTTGGATAGTGTTACCTGGTTCTCAGCTCTGCATGGCTTTGCTTACGCATGGCTCATTGCAGAGGCATTTTGACGCAGAGATAAAGCCACATGGTTAGCTGCTCAGGAACTGTCCTGTCTGGGGTTTTCTGGCCCAGTTCAGCTCAGCATCCCACCAGTGGGGTTCCTGCTGGGGTCCATAACTCGGGCCTTGTGTGGGGGGTCTGTGTGCACACATGTGGGGAGCTGAAGGGCTACCACCAAGACCTCCTGAGAAGGGGCTTACCTGGTGGTCCAGCTGTTAAGACTCGACACTTCCACTGCAGGGGGCATGTGTTCCATCCCTGGTCGGGGAACTGAGATCCCGCATGCCATGCTGCGAGGTCACACACACAGGAAACACCTCCTGAGAGTTTATGGTGATGGTCCTTGTTCTCTGAGGGGGACCCCGGCAGCCAGTGTCCTGAGACTTTCGGGCACAGCCTCAAACTGCCTTCCTTTCTTTCGGATTCACGGGGCCTTTCAGGTTTGAGTTGCTGGCACCCTCGGATGTCCCTGGAGGTGAGCACCTGGCTGGTCACGGGGCTGCCTAGCTGACTGCCTGCCTGGCCTGCGGGGACCGACAACGGTTTAAGCCAGTGCTTCCTAGGGCCCTTCGGTGGGTGTGGCCCCGGGGTGCAGACCTCCGCTCTCCTTCCCTCGTGTAGGCGGCTCAGTCCTCTGGTCCCAAGGAGGAGAAGAAGCATAGAGACCGGAAACCGCTGCAGGACTCGGAATCGGACCTGGCAGACGGCAAAGAACACCGACCCGGGGACCCCAACCGCGAGGCCAAGCACCGAGAGCGGGCCGCCGAGCGGGACGGCCACAGCGCCCGGGAGCACCCGCGCGGGGACAGGCAGCGGGAGCGGCGGAAGGACAGGGACCGGCCTAAGGAGAGGCACCGGGAGCTGGACGCGGAGAAGCCGCACGGCCGGGGGAAGGAGCGCGAGAGGGACCAGGAGCACCGGGCGCGCCGCGAGGAGCTGAGGCAGGCGGCCGCGCACCGCAACCTGCTGGCCCGGGACCGCGACCAGGACCGGGACGGGGACAGGCCGGAGCGCCGGCGGGCAGGTCTGTGTCTCCGAGGAGGCGACCCGCCCCCGGGCCTTCTCCTGTGGGTTTCATAGAGGCTTTGGCTGTGAGATCAGAGCCCCGCGGTGCACCTGTGTGCGCACTTTGCACTGCTTTCTTTGGTTGTCTCTAGTGAACAGGAAGAGCAGCAGCTTAATTATTGGCTGGAGTTCTACTACTGAAATATACTTTAGATTTATTCCCTCCATAATTCACAGCCCCTGTTTTAAATTAAAAAATAATGCTCTTTGATAAAAGAATTTCTCCAAAGTATCAGGTTTATTTTAGCCATATTTAAATATCTGTTCAAATTCCGTACTTTTTTCTTCCCAAATGGAATAAAGTATCTTCATTATTTTTTATTATACAAATGGTATCTTCTTCCTATAAAAAGTCAAACTAGCCAATATACACTAAAAAGGAATATGTTAGAAGAGCATATCGTGGCTCCAGCATCCTCAGGCTGTGATCGTCATGGAAGCAGGACCTCAGTTCACGGTCTGGTGGCCTGTGTTGCCCTGCGTAGGGGCTCGGGCCCGGGGACCTGAGCTCTGGGCAGGGTGAGGTTAAGTGGGCTGTCTCTAGTCAAGTTCCATAGTGACTCCCGTACCACCCATTATCTGTTTTCAGGATTAACATTTTGATGTTCTTGGTATTTTTTTTTAACAGTGATGTCCTTTTTGTTTTCCGGTCGTTCTGGTCTCCCTGCTCTTGTCTTCTCGGCACAGCGTCGCTCTGGTTGTTCAGGAGTCTGTGCAGAGTCTGTGCAGCCTGACTCTGACGGCCCTTCCTCCTCCCAGGGCCATTTGCCCCTTCCCTTGCCTCCTCCGTGTCTCCCCAGGTCCCCAGACCCTCTCTTCCTTCCTCATGTCGCAAACCCTGGGAATCCCCCTGACCCCACTCTCTCTCTCAGAGCCTGGCCCTTCTCTGCACTCCTGTCACCCCCGCCAGGGGACCGCACTGTGTGTTTTGATCTCTTATATGTGTGCTTAGTCGCTCAGTCGTGTCCCACTCTTTGCGACCCCGGGGACTGTAGCCCGCCAGGCTCCTCTGTCCATGGAATTCTCCCTGCACGAATACTGGAGTGGGTTGCCATGCCCTACTCTAGGGTACCTTCCCAACCCAGGGATCGAACCCAGGTTTCCCACGTTGCAGGCACATTCTTTACCATCTGAGCCACCAGGGAAGCCCTTGATCTCGTATGCCGAAGGCTTTTAGAAAGTGGTCAGGTTTGGTGAATACTTCTGTGGTGAATGAAATTTGTTTCAATGATCTCTGTATGTTGAGTTTTTTCCTCACCTTTACAAATGTGGGTTTTTGTAGTTTTAAGCCTAATAAGTATTGTGCAGATTCAAAAGTAGAAGTCTGGTTTTTCGCTCCTGGACGAGGCTGTGGGCGTCACCAGTGATTGAGGTGGTTGTATTGGGTCCCTGTGGCAGGGAGAGATCACGGGGTGGGGTAGGGGCATTCCAGCTTTCACCTGAGGCCTGGGGAGTGGGCCGTCCTTGCCCTCTGCATCACAGGGCCTCCTGCACCAGTGTGCCCTGGGTGGCGGGGCTCTAGGGGACCTGGGGGCAGGAGGGGGCAGTCTCCCAGTTTGTACGAGGCGGCTTTTTCCTTGGCTGAGCATGGGGGAGGGAATGCCTGCCCAGCTGGACTGGACTTTGCTTCCCTGAGTCTCTGGCAGCAACCGGAGCTCTGAAGCCCTGTGTTTGGACTGGTGCCCGTCTGGGGCTCCTCTGACATGCTTTCCAGGTTTGCTTCTCCTTTATTCCATTTTAAGTTCAGATTCTAGAACTTTCCACAGTTGAGACTGGAGAATGTGTCTTAAAGAACATGTTTACACACGTGATACTGTGTGATGTGTCCTGTAGACACTGCTGCAGGACCTTAAAGTTTGGGAATGTTAAAAACCTGTTTTATTTTTGTAGGAAGTAAAGCAAGAATTGAAGAGAGGGAGCAGAGAGATGAAGACTCTGAGCGAGGAGATGAGGATCGGGAGAGAAGGTACCGAGAGAGAAAGGTATGAAGGGAGCAGCCCCGGGCCCCAGCTGCAGGGCCCAGGACGCCCAGGTGGGCACTCTGGGAGTTTTTCTGGTGAAGTGCATAAAACAGAGTCCAAGACCCGAGACTCTGCTCAAGCACTGAGATCCTTTAGGCAAGTGTGTTTCTCCAATTCCAAGAGTCAACATTGGCTATTCTGGAAAATTTACAAAATGCAAATAAATAAGAAGAAAATAAAAGGTAGGTGCTCACCTAGAGATAATCACTGATAATGTTTAGGTGTATGTCCTGTAGGTTTATATATTCATATGTATATATATATTTGGATATATACATGGAAACTTCATTTTAAGTTGGATTTTCACTGTTTTATAGCTGCTTAAACTGAACACATTTTGAGCATTTTTTCTAAGCTATCACATGTCTGTAGTATTTTAATGGCTACATAATACATTATTCAGTGATATCAACATATCATAGTTTTCTTGACACATCTGCTTCCTTGGATATTTACTTTGATTCTAAAATTTTTTTATTAGGACATCCGAGGTGTAGACTTTTTGCATTTATTCATAACTATTTCCTAATGATTAATTTCTGGAAGTGGACCAGCTGGATCACATTGTGTCATCTCACCAATTTACTTCACACCGAGCATAGTTGTTCCCTTTATTTGAGTATGATTCCCCCCGACCTAAGCAGCGAATGTTTGCTCATTTGATTCACACGCAAAAGGCATTCTGTGAAAGGGTCTATGGCCCTTTTACTTGTTATTACCTGTGCATGTCTGCCTCCTGGTCTGGCGAGGGGAATAAGGGTGCTTTGAAGATGAACTGTCTGATGATTATGTATGTCAGTGCTTGAGCAGAGTAAGTGGGGGCAGTGGGATCGTCCCCTGAGCGGTGGCGCAGAGAGGGAGGAGGCCCTGAGTGAAGGGAAAGGACGGTGCACTTCGGGTTCTGTTACGATGTCCTGGTGATGCTCACGACCTGCTGTATGAGTCTGCAGCGGCTCTCTGCCTCGTGGTGCCCGCCCCCGGGGTCACCGGGCACCCCCGGGGGCTTGAGGGACCCAAGGGTGAGGAGCGGTCTCCCTGCGGGTGGGGACGGACGCGTGCTGGGAGGAGAGGCGCCCTGTGCTGCCCCCGGACGCGGGTGTCCCCCTGAACGCCTCGCACGGTGTCCTCGGGGGCCTGGCAGGTTGGGTGCGGACGCGGGGAGTCGGGGCGGGGACAGCAGCTAGGTCCGGAGGGTTCGCCGGGAGGAGGAACGGGGGCGACAGCGCCCCGAGGGCGAGGCTGCGGTGAGTGTGCGTGCTGGCGGGCCGTCCCTGCTCCTGCCCCGGCTGTCACGTGCGTCTGGGAGGGTGGCCGCGCCGGAGCCCTGTGCCTCTCCACCTCTGCGGGGTGTGAACGCGGCAACGCTTGCGTGTCTGCCCCGTCACATCCACAGCTGCAGTATGGCGACAGCAAGGACAACCCCCTCAAGTACTGGCTGTACAGAGAGGCGGGCGAGAGGCGACCCAGGGAGCAGAAGGAGCCAGACCGGGAGAGGAAGCACCGGGAAAAGAGCGGCACGCGGGAGCGGAGAGAGAAGAGTTCCAAGGAGAAAGGCGGTTCGTCCTGCGCCAAGGAAGGGGAGGAGAGGCACAGAGAGAGGCGCCATAAAGAGGGCGTCCACGCGGGCGAGGAGAGGCCGCGAGGCCACGCCGCGAGGAAGGAGCACAGGAGGAGGGAGGCGAAGGTACGGCGCCCCGCGCCGCGCGCCCCACCCCGGCCCTGCGCCCGTCCCGCGCCCCCATCCCCCGTCGCGCCCCCATCCCCCGTCTCGCCCCCCGCCCTTCGGCCCGCGCCCCGCCCCGCAGCTGCTGGGGCCGGCTCCCACAGGGAGAGGCTGCTTCCCAAACGGCGACCTCGGTGTAGACGGGAGTCAGGCAGTGTCACGTGACCACGTAGGCACATGGCTGACCTCCCAGCAGACGTGAAGTGCCATCAACTTTTACCATATATTCATATATTTATCATAACATTTTGAAATTTAACATTAAGAAAGCTGATTTTTTTAAAAAAATGTATTTTAAATTAATTAATTTATTTAAATTGGAGGCTAATTGCTTTACAATATTGTGGTGGTTTTTGCCATACACTGAGATGAATCACCCATGGGTGTACATGTGTCCCCCATCCTGAACCCCCCTCCCACCTCCCTCCCCATCCCATCCCTCAGGGTCATCCCAGCGCACCGGCTTTGGGTGCCCTGCTTCGTGCTTCGAACTTGCACTGGTCCTCTGTTTCACATATGGTAATATATTTGTTTCAATGCTATTCTCTCAAATCATCCCACCCTCGCCTTCTCCCACAAAGTCCAGAAGTCTATTCTTTACATCTGTGTCTCTTTTGCTGTCTCAAATATAGGGTCATTGTTACTGTCTTTCTAAATTCCATATATATGCATTAATATTCTGCATTGGTGTTTCTCTTTCTGACTTACTTCATTCTGTATAATAGGCTGCAGTTTCATCCACCTCATTAGAACTGATTGAAGTGCATTCTTTTTAATAGTGAATAATATCTCATTGTGTATGTGCACCACAGCTTCCTTACTGATTCGTCTGCCCATGGGCATTGATTTCCACCCATGTCCTAGCCCTTGTAAACAGTGCTGCAGTGAACACCGGGGTGCACGTGTCTCTCTCAATTGTGATTTCTTCAGGGTGTGTGCCCAGCAGTGGGATGGCTGGGTCATGTGGCAGTTCTATTTCCAGTGTTTTAAGGAATCCCCACATTGTTCTCCATCGTGTCTGTACTGGTTTGCATTCCCACCAACAGTGTAAGAGGGTCCCCTTTTCTCCACACCCTCTCCAGCATTTATTGCTTGTAGACTTTTGGATAGCAGCCATCCTGACTGGCGTGTAATGGTACCTCATTGTGGTTTTGATTTGCATTTCTCTGATAATGAGTGATGTTGAGCATCTTTTCACATGTTCGTGAGCCATCTGTATCTCTTCTTTGGAGAAATGTCTGTTTAGTTCTTTGGCCCATTTTTTGGGTCGTTTATTTTTCTGGTATTGAGCTGCATGAGTTGCTTGTATATTTTTGAGATTAATTCTTTGTCAGTTGCTTCCTTTGCTATTATTTTCTCCCATTCTGAAGGCTGCCTTTTCACCTTGCTTAGAATTTCCTTCTTTGTGCAACAGCTTTTAAGTTTAATTAGGTCCCATTTGTTTATTTTTGTTTTTATATCCATTTCTCTGGGAGGGTCATAGAGGATCCTGCTCTGATTTATGTCGAGAGTGTTCTACCTATGTTTTCCTGTAAGAGTTTTATAGTTTCTGATCTTATGTTTAGATCTTTAATCCATTTTGAGTTTATTTTTGTATATGGTGTTAGAAAGTGTTGTAGTTTCTTTCTTTTACAAGTGGTTGATCAGTTTAGCACCACTTGTTAAAGAGATTGTCTTTTCTCCATTGTATAATTTTGTCTCCTTTGTCAAAGATAAGGTTTCCATTAGGTGCATGGATTTATCTCTGGGCTTTCTATTTTGTTCCATTGATCTATATTTCTGTCTTTGTGCCAGTACCATACTGTTTTGATGACTGTAGCTTTGTAGTATAGTCTGAAGTCAGACAGGTTGATTCCTCCAGCTGCATTCTTCTTTCCCAAGATTGCTTTGGCTGTTGAAGGTTTTTTTGTGTTTCCATCAGTTCAGTTCAGTCACTCAGTTGTGTCTGACTCTTTGCAACCCCACGGACTACAGCATGCCAGGCCTCCCTGTTCATCACCAACTCCCAGAGTTTGCTCAGACTCATGTCCATCAAGTCAGTGATGCCATCCAACCATCTCATCCTCTGTCATCCCCTTCTCCTCCTGCCTTCAGTCTTTCCCAGCATCAGGGTCTTTTCAAATGAGTCAGTTCTTTGCATCAGATGGCCAAAGTATTGGAGATTCAGCTTCAGCATCAGCATCAGTTCTTCCAATGAATATTCAGGACTTATTTCCTTGAGTATTCTTTATACCTAGATAGCCATTAAATCATAATGTTTTCCTACCTAGCACTACTGATTTCATTCTGTTTCTTCTGTTCCAATCTATTTTATAGACTGATGCCAGACTGTTCTTCCTGTTAAACATGTTAATTATGCCTTTTCTAATTGATTTTGGAAAGATTTTTAAATTAGGAAGAATAAAACAACAGTTATCTGTGATCCAAGACTTGGAGCTAATCCATTTTGTAATATATATTTGGCGAAGGAAATGGCAACCCACTCCAGCATTCTTGCCTGGAAAATCCCATGGCTTGAGAAGCAGGGTGGGCTACAGTTCATGGGGTCGCAGAGTCAGACACGACTAAGCGACTAAACAGCAGCAACAACATGTATTTACTTGCAGTCCTGTTTCTACATAATGAGTGCTGGGGTCCAGCCTCAGCAGGATCCAGGGGTACCCTCAGGATGAATGGCGTCGGCGAGAGAGAGAGAGAGAGAGAGAGAGAGACAGAGACAGAGACAGAGAGAGAGAGAGACCAGATGGGGGGCATAGCCGAGTCTGGCAAATCTTTATTTTTTACTGTAGCTTTTATATTCTAAGTTAGTGCATTTTTAAGGGGAAGATAGTTTAATATTACATCGGCTTATCCTTCACGAAACCAGGGTGTTTTCTGCATACTTCTTTGTGAGAGTCTTGTATATTATCTTCTGGCCTTGGGGCCTATTGACATCTTATGACCTAGGTGAATGCAAAGCTGTTTTCTGTAATCTATTCTTTAATGAACACAAAGGTCTGTCCTTTTGCAGAAGTTATCAATTAAATTTATCTAAAAGGTTTACCACACAAAGACTCTGCAGCTCTGGTGAGGCAGCCCCTGTTTAGCATTCCTGGTTAGAATGAACAATTCTAAATTCTTGTTTTTCTAAATCTCTAACTATAACCATGTTTAGAATAATATCTTTGTGTTCTCTAATAGGGCTTCCTCATCCCTGAAGGGCTCTGTGCCTATTAGGGCCTTTTGTGTGATCAGGTTCTTTATGCTGTTTATGATTAAGGTGTTGTGAGCAGTCATGTGCATTAGTACGCATTTGCCAAGCAGGCTAGAATGCCAGCAAAGGGGTCTAAATTGAAACACTCCTTTCATCCTTGATAATCTTATAGGATCCCACCGTCCAGGGGACATATTGATGAAAGTTCTAAGTTGATTCTGTTTGGAGAGAGATTGGGGAAGCCTTCTGCCTGTGTCACAGAAATTAGGGAGTAGTCTAATATAGCAAGCATCAGAAAGACAGAGATCATCTTTAAGGTGAGCGCCGAGGCAGCTTTTCGAAATCCCTGAAGTCCTGATCTGCCTTGCTTGTCAGGTCTTCTCCTCACGACCTTGTCATGGGTGGGATCTCTTGTGCTGGCTCCCAGCACATGAGCTTAAATGAGCTTTCTAAAAATGCAAAATTGGAATTGTGCTTTTTTTTTTTTAATTTTTAATTCTGAGAATTGCTTTTTTAACACTGTAACATTAAATAGCTGTCTGGTATTCTGTCATGGTCATAACCTCATTTATTTACAAGTAACCTAATATTGAACGTGGAGGTCAGTAGAATTTATTGGTCAGAGACAGTGTATGAATAATGTTAACTTTTACTAGGCGTTTGCTACTTGCTGTGCATTGCCCTGCATGCCAAGCTTCCTTCTGCTCTGTGCTTTTTTTGGATCTCACCTCCCGCCCCCACCCTTGGCCCCCCAGGTCTGGAGCCCCTCTGTGTGGGAGGCGTGGCCCCTCTGCTCCAGGCCCTCCTCAGGGAACAGCCTGATGCCCCTCCTTTCCTCCGTGCTTCCGGGCAGTGCCCACTCAACAGATGGCTCTCCTTTTAGATAGCCTACCTTCGTGTGTTGATTTATATTCTGTTTTTAAAAATTCACTTAATTTAAGAGAAGAGCGTTTAAATTTTTTCCATAGGTGTATGGATTTATGAAACAGCCATATTACAAATGTTTGAAAGTTTTATCGTTTTAAACGGTATGAGGATCTAGTCAGGTTTTCTGAAAATTAGGTGGAATTGGTAAGTATAAGTTTCTTTTTCTTAGGTAACATTATGGAGACAATGGATAACCACCTTTTAGTGTCCCGTGTTCATCTCACTTACGTCAAGCACCTTTTACTAAGACAGGTGGTAAAAGCAGTCATTTTAAGAGGTGCCTGTAGCTGTTAGATTTTAAGCCCGTGACTTCCTTTTCAGAGCCTACTAACTGTGGTGAATTGGTTATGCTGTACTCATTAACGGTTGTGGGATTTTCTGCCAGGATGGGGAGCACAGACACCGTGGTACGAGCCTGAGGAGAGACAGCCCGGGCAGCCAGTGAGTGAAATGTGTCCTGCTGATTGCTGTGTCTGTAGCTCAGTTCTCCCAGAATGCGTCAAAACGGACTTTTCCTCTTGGGCCTGATTATGGCCAGGAGAGGAGAGTACGCTGCAGACAGACTTCAGGTTCTCCAGACAGGAGCCCTCCAAGCTGTGTCTTCGGGGTCCTGCAGGAGCTGGGAGCTTGTTATGGGTTATGAGTCCTGCTTGGCCTCTTGCACACTTGCTGGTGCAGCTTCAGGACGTCAGCCCTCCCCGGGCACCAGTCTCCGGGAGTCTCTGCTCTGCGGGGAGGGCACCTGCAGGTGGCTCTGGGCGTCCAGTTCCCGACCCCGGGATGCTGAGCACAGACGTGCCCAGCAGACCCGCTGCCCCATGTTTGCAGGTCAGGCAAGGCGTGGGCACTGCCCACCGCTGCGTCCACCCTTCCTGGGGGTGGCTGGCCCTTCAGAGCCTGTCTTTACTGTGAAGCTCGAACGAGGCCAATTTTGTGGGTTTTATGAAGATTAAGGTTAGAGTTTGCATGTAAATCCTCACTTTGTATGTGAGCTCCAGATTATAATTTGTTCTTTGCAGCAACAATATTTGGTGATTCTTTTCCACAGATTAGGGATATTCAGGTTAAATGCCTTGTCCTAAATCTTACAAGTTTGCACAAAATTATGCTTAAGCCTGGGGTGCAGATTCCTAGATTTTGTATTGCATGTCTGCTAGAAATGCAGTGAAGCTTTTGCTTGATTCTGTGTGATTTTAAACATAGTGTGTGTTGAATTGGTATGAATGTTAAGTTCCAAATATTGAGAATCAGGTTGTAATTTTGAAAACCTTATTTTATATCCAAAGTAAACATATAAATTATGTTCTATAAAAATAGAACATAATTCAAGTTAAATCTTTTGGAAATATTATATTAAACCTAAAACATTTGGGATTGATTCTCTAATAAAATTATAGGAATTTTCTAGAACTCTTAAAGGACATAGATTTATACATAAACACAAGTTTGTTAAAATGCATAATTTCTTCTCTCTACTGAAGCTATTTCCTATCTTGTACTACGGCTAAGACAGTAAAAATAGTTTAAAAAAGTTGAAACTATAGTTTAAAAATAGTTCTAAAAAGGCCTTAATTCTAATAAAGTTCTAATAATAGTTCTAATAAAGTGTGCTTTGCAAATATGCCAACCTATGGGCATTCTTAATCATATCAAATACTGACAACAGCCTTCACTGAGATGAAAATGCTTTAATTTTCAAGTCTTTGTTTAAAATTAATTTGACTTTGATCATACTTGCTTTCTAGGCATGTGGAGAACTCAGTGAGGAGTGACGGGAAGGATAGAGACTCAAGAAGGAAGGTGAGACCTTTCCCCGGGGGTTCTGTGGTAGGTCCAGCGACTCTGAGGGCAGAGCCTGGCAGGCTTTTTTTCACGTGGTTTCCTTGAGTGATGATTCCAGGAGGCACGTAAGAGATACATTTTAGATTAAAAGACTCAAATGGATTGAAGTGAAAAGATGGACAAGGTGGCCACCAAACAACAGTTGTACCGGAGCTTGGGTGGCTGGACCAGATGCCCGAGAACACATCATAGGAATAAGACAGGTCACTTGCAAGGAAGACATGACAAGCATAAAGGAACACGCTGCTCAGAAGAGAGCCCCAGAATGCCAGAAGTAGAGGCAGACTGAATCAGAGGGAGAGGCAGAAAATTCAATAGAGAATGGGACTTTAGCTCCCACTTTCACGAATAGAATGCCAGCATTTCCTGCTAACAGATTAGACGATTTAGATGAAAGGGAAATTACTGGAAGATCGACATTAGTGACATTGCCTCGAGAAGAAATAGAAACTCTGAGTGTGTATATATATATATACTGTCACTCAGTCATGTCCTACTCCTCGCAACCCCATGGACTATAGCCCATGAGGGTCCCCTGTTCATAGAATTCTCCAGGCAAGAATCCTGGAGTGGGTAGTCATTTCGTCCTCCAGGAGATCTTCCCAACCGAGGGATCGAACTCAGATCTCCTGCATTGCAGGCAGATTCTTTACCAACTGAGTGACCAAGTTAGAAAAAAGTTGTGTTAGTGTTAAAAATCTTTCCACAAAGCAGCGGAGGCTTGGGTGACCTCACTGGCAACTTCTACCAGGCGTTTGTTGTTAACACTGACACCCTTAAGGCCCTACTCCTTTCACAGTTACTTCATATCCAGGATTAAGTGTGTGCACATGTGTGTATGTGTGCATGAGAAGCATGTGCAAGTTATAAGGTGTAGTAGTTCTTTCACATTCTGGATTATCCATGCATGTGTACACGTGAGAAGCACATGTCAGTGATATGCTATCATTCAGACAGCACAGTCTTGGTCTTCATTTTTTATGCCATCTTCATAATTATCATCAGAAGGATCTTCATAATGATTATTTGATATCTCTGGAATCGTATACAGTGGTGTTAAAATTATTACCGTACCATTTCCTAGGTTTTTGTTCTGTTGTAGGTAATGTGGCAAGCAGATTTTAGCTTTTGTTGTTGTTGTTCAGTCGCTATGTCATGTCTGACTCTTTGTGACCCCATGAACTGCAGCACACCCGGCTTCCCTGTCCTTCATTATCTCCCAGAGTTTGCTTAAACTCATGTCAGTTGAATCAGTGATGCCATCCAACCATCTCATCCTCTGTCGTCCCTTTCTTCCTTCAATTTTTCCCAGCATCATGGTCTTTTCCAGCGAGTTGGCTCTTTGCATCAGGTGGCCAAAGTATTGGAGCTTCAGTTTCAGCACCACTCCTTCCAGTGAATAATCAGGGTTGATTTCCTTTGGGATGAACTGGTTTGATCTCCTTGCAGTCCAAGGGACTCTCAAGAGTCTTCTCCAACACCACAGTTCAAAAGCATCAATTCTTTGGTGCTTAGCTTTCTTTACAGTCCAACTCTCACATCCATACATGACTACTAGAAAAACCATAGCTTTGACTAGATGGACCTTTGTCAGCAAAGTGATATCTCTGCTTTTTAATACACTGTCTAGGTTTGTCACAGCTGTTCTTCTAAAGAGCAAGCATCTTTTAATTTCGTGGCTGCAGTCATTGCCTGCAGTGATTTTGGAGCCCAAGAAAATGAAATCTCACACTGTTTCCTCTTTTCCCCCTTCCATTTGCCATGAAGTGATGGAACTGGATGCCATGATCTTCATTTTTGAATGTTGAGTTTTAAGCCAGCTTTTTCACTCTCCTCTTTCACACTTACCAAGAGGCTCTTTAGTTCATCTTCACTTTCTGCCATTAAAGTGGTATCATATACATATCTGAGGTTATTGATATTTCTCATAGCAATCTTGATTCCAGCTTGTGCTTCATGCAGCCCGGCATTTCACCTTATGTACTCTGCATGTAAGTTAAATAAGTTGGGTGACAATATACAACCTTGACGTACTCCTTTCTCAATTTGGAACCAGTTCCATATCCAGTTCTAACTGTTGCTTTTTGTTCTGCATACAGGTTTCTCAGGAGGCAGGTAATGTGATTTGGTATTGCCATCTCATTAAGAATTTTCCACAGTTTGTTGTGATCCACAGAAAGGTTTTAGTGTAGTCAATGAAGCAAAAGTAGATTTTTTTTGGAATTCCCTTAATTTTTCTATGATCCAGCATATGTTGGCAATTTGATCTCTGGTTCTTCTGCTTTTTCTAAATTTGGCTTGTACATCTGGAAGTTCTTGGTTCACATATTGCTGAAGCCTGGCTTGGAAAATTTTGAGCATTACTTTACTAGTGTGTGAGATGAGTGCAGTTGTACAGTAATTTGAACATTCTTTGGCATTGCCTTTCTTTGGGATTGGAATGAAAACTGACTTTTTCCAGTCCTGTGGTCACTTCTGAGTTTTCCAAATTTGCTGGCATATTGAGTGCAGCACTTTCACAGCATCATCTTTTAGGATTTGAAATAGCTCAGCTGGAATTCCATCACCTCCACCAGCTTTGTTCATAGTGATGCTTCCTAAGGGCCCACTTGACTTTGCATTCCAGGATGTCTGGCTCTAGGTGAGTGATCACACCATCACGGTTATCTGGGTCATGAAGAGCTTTTTTGTATAGATCTTCTGTTTATTCTTGCCACCTCTTCTTAATATCTTTTGCTTCTGTTAGGTCCATACCATTTTTGTCCATTTTTGTGCCCATCTTTGCATGAAATGTTCCCTTGGTATCTCCCATTTTCTTAAAGAAATCTCTAGTCTTTCCCATTCTTTTGTTTTCCTCTATTTCTTTGCATTGCTCACTTAAGAAGGCTTTCTTATCTCTCCTAGCTGTTCTCTGGAGCTATGCATTCAGTTTGGAATATCTTCCCCTTTCTCCTTTGCCTTTTGCTTCTCTTCTTTTCTTAGCTATTTGTAAGGCCTCCTCAGACGACCACTTTGCTTTCTTGCATTTCTTTTTCTTTGGGATGGTTTTGGTTATCACCTCCTGTACAGTTTTATGAGCCTTTGTCCATAGGTCTTCAGGCTCTCTGTTTACCAGATCTAGTCCCTTGAACCTATTTGTCACCTCCTCTGTATAATTATACAGGATTTGATTTAGGCCATAGCTCGATGGCCTAGTGGTTTAACCTGCTTCCTTCTGTTTGCTGGGAAGAACAATCTTTTTCTTTCTCTGATAGCTATCTGAAACACTGGACTGTGAGAGAGCTGTCTTGAGCACCTGGCGCCGTGTTTTTACAGGTCTGTACTCCATGCACACACAGCAGCACAGAGCTTTCTGATGAGTCAGGTCGTGCAGCTGTTGGTTGATGTGAGGATGTTTTTTAGTCTGGGCAGCGGTTGCATTCCTCCCTGTCCAGGTATAGCCACACCCTACTAAAAAGTGAGCCTTATAGGTAATTCTTCCCACGTAGTCTTTTTTCTGTATAATCTTTGAGTGTGCTGTTTTGATGTCTGTGTTGGGGGGGTCGATGCCTTTTTTCTGTCTTGCTCACACCTGCAGCATGTGCGGTTTGTCCTGATTCTGTGGAAACCCCTCTAGCTATAATGATTCAGATCTCCCTCCTACTTCTCATGAGTAAGTTTCTTGAACTGGAATTATTGAATGAAAATATCCAGTTTTTAATATTTTCTGTCTCTCAATTTTTTTACCAAGGGTTAGCATTGTTCCCTAGAATTATAATGTGAGCCACGTTTGTAATTTTAATTTTTTTGGTAGTCACCTTAAAAAAGAAACATAAATTTTAATAACATATAATCCAGCGTTTCTGAAATAGTCTTTCAACATGTAGCCAATGTACAAAATTAGAAGTGTACATTCTTTTTTTCACCAAAGTAGCAAAATATGAGAGGTGTTTTTCCCCTGAGAGAGCCCAGAAGTGATCTTGAAGATAGCTGGCAGCCGGTTTGGCTTATGGCTGGCCATGTGTTTTATAGCATCAGCCCTGAGTTACCTTGGTCTAGTTGCTCAGCATTTACATGGCGACCCCACACTACGCCAGATGAAGCTTCCGGGTGGAAAGCTGTTCCGCTTCCTGCTGGGGGCGCCATGCTACCCCCACACCTTCGCATCCAATGGTTGCTGGCGCTGACGTCTGCGAGCCGTGCCTTCCGGGGGCCATGGCCCCAGTGGGACAGCCAGGTGCCCCCGCCTCACCGGCACCTGGAGGAAGGTTCAGTCTCCCCGTTTCTCTGAGGAGGACACTGAGGCCCGAAGAGGTCGAGTTCCCTGTGAGGCGCGGCCCAGCCGGTGCCCCTCACGCGGTCCCTGGCCCCCGCGGGAGCAGGCTGCGTCCCGGGCCTCCCCTCCGCCTTCCGGCTGACCCGCTGTGCTCTGTCCCCCAGCACGGCCGCGAGGAGGGCCCCTCGGTGTGGAAGCTGGAGCAGAGGCAGGGGAGCGAAGAGGCCACGGTGAGGGGAGGAGGCGTCCGTCTTCGCCCGGAGGACGCTGGGCCGGAGGGGCTGCTGTGCGTTGGCTCTGCGCCCCCCGTGTGCACTCCCAGGAGCTCGGGCTGGACGCGCCCCCAGCCTTCGCGCTGTTTCTCTTCCTTGAAAGTCAGTAGGTTTGGGGAGAAGGCAAGGAAGTGAACAGAGGCCTCACAAAGACACGATCCGGGTGCTGTCAGTGAGGAGCCGTCCAGGGAGCAGAAAGTTTGCAGAAAAACGCCAGCGGTGGAGGAGCAGCCCGCTCCTGCAGGAGCTGCTGTTGGCGCTGGGGCGTTCTTTCTGAACCGGGGTGGGGCGGGGGCCCTGAGCTCGGGGCCCCGGCAGGCCAGGGACGCTCTTCTGTCCCTGTCCTCCCGTCTGTCCCCGGCAGGCACCCTGGGTGGCTGGGGGGCCCGTGGCCCGTTTGCCGAGCAATGAGTTGTTGGGACGTGGAGAGCCTGTGATGCTGGGTCTCTGGTTTATTTGTTCAGTAACCAGAGACCCACTTTTTTCTTTGGCCATCAGAATTTAGAGTTTTCTCAAAAAGAATATGATTGATAACACTTTTCTCTTTCTGGTCATACTTATAAGTCAGGGTATTTAAGAGTTGCGATTAGGTTATGTTAATTTTATAGATGTTTGAATTTCTAAATTAACAACCTGAAGTGAATCTCAGAAAACATGTATTTTACAGCCTATTTGCAAGAATCAACCTGAGATTGAATATTTTAATTATATGTTTGATTTCTGCCTGTAGGAAATTGAAAAGGAAGACGTTGATTTAGAAAATGTTGGAACGGATGAGTATACAGCCATTTTTGAAGATGATTTTGAAGTAGGTATTTAGAATTTTCTTATTTTAAGGATAGTTTGTTCTAAAGTCGGAAACTTAATTGTTTTTCCATCTCCTCTTATTGCTGTCAGTGCTCCGTATCTATTTGATTTAGATCTGGTCCCGATAAAAAGTTTGCTGTGCATCTACCATTGCTGACCAGTATGGTATAATTAAATGATTTTTCAGTTTAGCCTGTCGGTAATGCACTACAGTCAAACGTGTGTGTGTGCACACATGTGTGCATTATGTGTGTGCATGTGTGTGTGTCTACATGAAGTACACATGGATATACATGTCTCTGTGTGCTCACGCTCCCATTGTCGGCACAGGTGCGTTTGCACTGTATTGTTCACCCAGAGCTCTCAGAGCGCACAGTTCTGTCGGGGGTATGTGGACGCGGAGGAGCAAGCACAGCAGCTTGCACAGAAACCTGTGAGCTGCACGGCGCCCAGGCACACAGGGCCCTGTCTGTGAGTCCTGCCGACTGCGTGCCCCACCCGCGAGCGTGTCCGCTCTGCCTGCAGGACTATGAGGACGACTTCGAGGTCTGTGACGGGGCTGACGACTGCGGGGCGGACGAGCCTAGAGAGGGTGAGGCAGCGGAGGAGCTGCCTCCGGCCCGGAGGAGGGAGATCCAGGAGATCCAGAAGGCCATCCTCGCGGAGAACCAGCGGGTCGGCGAGCTGTCCTCGAAGCTGCCCGAGAAGCATGGCTGCCTGGAGCGTGCTGGGGGGCCGGGCCCGGGTACGTGAGTGGACAGCGCCCCAACCCCGGGGCGCGCGCGTGTTGAGGCCCTGCTTGGGGAGGGCAATGCGGCGGGGCCATGCCATGTGCTCACTCGGCGTCCGAGGCCCCAGCTGCATTTGTTTTGAGGAAGGAAATGACGGCGTCGGCAGGAGGCTGGCCGTGGTGGGGCAGCCGTGGCAACTTTCTCTATGAAACTGGGAATGTGTTTTGCTCTGAAGCTCTTGGCACCTGGGTATGCGAAGATTACTTGTCAGGGCAGGGGAGTGCTCTCCATGAATGCTTCTGACAGCCCGGAGTGACAGTGCTTTGAGGCAGGAGAAACGGGAGGTGCTCGGTCAGCACCTTCTCGCAGGCTCTCAGGCTGCAAGACGGTAGGACAGGGCACGCTCTTTGCCTGAGTCCAAACACACATCCAAGGGGAATGAGAAGATAGGGTGAGAATAGTGCATAGAGAAATATACGGGTTTGTCTGCACGCTAAGTGCAAGGGTGCCTGGGGGCTGAGGCCCGGGAGGTGGACCCCATGGAGGGAGGGGGTGGAGCGGTCTGTCCCGTGGGGGCTTCAGGTGGTCCGTGGCCCGTCACCAGGCCGACCAGCCTGCCCGCTGTGACCTGATGGACCGCTGCCCGTGTCTGCCCCTCTCCTGCTCCCTGCTGCAGTGATTGGCTTGTCCAGCCTGCACCAGCCTCCGTGTGTTTCCCGGCTGCTCTGTGTGTTCACACCTCAGCTCCCTCACCCGAGAAGAGGGGTTTGGAGCGGGCAGGGGAGAGTGAGGTGGGAGTGGAGGACTGACCACCCTTATATGTGTTCTTAAATATTTCTGGAAGTAGTGTGATTGGCACAGATGTAGGAAATATTGCTTTGTTGCAGGTTTTAGATGAAATGAGCAGAAGTGGTTCCTAAGTGCACATAGAAGACATTTGTCATTAGTTGAGTGAACATAATTGGTTTACGTGTCTAATTGGTTTACTCTTGATTTCTTTTGCTTGAAAGAAATATTTCAGTTTCACAAAAATACCGTTTTTTTTTATGTGCAGAGGCAAACAGCTCCCCTTCCAAAACCCCCCTGTGTGGAATTTTCATGGATTTTGCCACAGCCTCACACCGTCAAAAGAATCGGACTCAGACCCTTAAGCAAAAGTAGGTGTACTGGGAAAATTGCAGATGGAATTAGGAGTTTCTGTACTTCCCTGCAACGGACGTTTAAATATTAGCTTTTGTTGTGTTGTCACTGCTGGTGTTCAGGCCCATGGTTTCATTTGTGCTGTGTTCCTGCGTCCTGGGTTGTGTTCCTGGTGCAGTGCTGTAGGCGAGCTCGGCCCGGCATCTGTGTCAGTTCTGGGGGGGCCCCGGGAGCCCCGTGTCAAGGCCGGGCCGCGGCACAGGCGCTCTGGAGGCGGGCGGTAGGACTGAGAGCAGAGGGCGGGGCGGTCCGCCTGTGCCCCGTGCCTCCCGCCGCCGTGTGGGCCGTGCGCTCTCAGCCGGCACCCCTTGTCTCAGGCTGGGGAGCCGGAGAGTCACAGCGGAGAGCCTCACATCAGCCAGCCATCCCGTGTCCCGGGCACTGAGCCCCCGTGGGCTGCAGGCTGCCTGTGCAGGCCCGGGTCAGCCCAGCGAGGGTGGAGATGAGGGTGAAGAGCCAGGGCCAGCGGGGTCAGAGTCCAGACTGCTGTGAACACAGAAGCTCAGGAAAGTGAAGGACAGACTCTCAGCCCACGTCTGCGGTGCTGAGCCCGGCGCAGTCTGGGGTAGATGCCGCAGTCCACCGGGTTGGGCTGGACACAGTGGACTTAGGCCGAGTGTCCAGTCAGCCAGGGAGCCATGCTGGCAGGAAGCAGCCTCCACCCCACCTCCCCCGAGAGCGCGCGCCCCCTGCAGCAGAGGGAGCCAGGGTGCGGTTGGCAGGGGCTCGCCCGGCTGGACGCACCCCTGAAGTGGGGGGCGTCGACAGCAGTGGGAGCTGGGCGTCCAGCCCTGCAGCCTCGCTGTCCTCGGGGGCCCAGCGTGGTGACTGTGAGCGTAGACGGCCCGCTGCTCCCGGCCCGGCCTCCGTCCTGCTCTCCCCTCCAGGACGCGCAGCGCAAAGCTGCTGCGGCTCATCGACATGGACTTCTCCTGCACCTTCTCCCTCCTCGACCTCCCGCCCGTGAAGGAGTACGACATGTACATCCGGAACTTCGGGAAGAAGAACACCAAGCAGGTCAGCTTGTGCGGTGGCAGGGCCTGAGGTGTGACGCGTGCTGTCCTGACGTCAGAGCGGGGGTGGCAGGACCCTCATCGCCTGGAGCCTGTGCTCTGGGGGCGCCTGGGCACGGACGTGGCTCACTCGCAGGCTCTGAGGACAGCCTGGGACGGGAGGCTTTACTGAAAGTCACCGGGAGTCACGTGCAGTCACCTGCTCCCATCCCTGTGGGCCTGCAGCGTCTTGCATGTATGACCCTAGGTGCAGAGGCTCCAAGATTTGGGCTGGAGTGCCCCCCCTACCTACCTCCCCCCGAGCTCCCAAGGTTCTGGACTTGCCTCGGGGTCCTTCCTGCCTGTTCCATTCCGCTCGCCCTTACTTGGGAAATGCGGCCCTGGCCAGGCCCTCTGGTATATGCCCTTGGGTCCCCCCCACCTGCCCCTGGGCCCCCCTCACCTGCCCCTGCAACCCCCTTGCAGGCTCCTTGGTCATCTGCCTGTCCTTCTCTGTTACCTGGCCTATGCCGTCCCTACCTCATCCCTTATTTGTCTTCCTGTCTCTCTGTCCACGGCCTGTCCTCCAGGTGAACTAGGTGATCCATCCCTGCGTGCCCTCTGACCCGCGTGTTGCTGTAGTCCGCCCCACACCACTCTGCCCTTCCCCGTCTCACTTCCAGCCATTGACTGTGAGCTGGCTGGCCTTCCAGGGTGGTGAGGTCCTGAAGTCAGAAGTCCCTCCAGTGTTTCTCCCCTGTCCCCATGGAGCCATCCCTCAACATGCTCTTTGGTGTGTCTGTCAATAATCTTTTAACAGGAAGAGGGTTGGAGCAGGAAATTTAAGAAGCTGACAGACTAACCCTGGCTTTGCAGCCAGCCCACTCTGACCTTGAGTAGACTCTAACTTCTTTGCTTATTTTCCTCATCTCAAAGCTTTTCGTTGCTATTGTTCAGTTGTTCAGTCATGTCTGACTCTTTGTGACCCCATGGACTGCAGCACGCCAGGCCTCCCTGTCCTTCACCATCTCCAGGAGTTTGCTCAAACTCATGTCTATCAAGTCAGTGATGCCATCCAACCATCTCATCCTCTGTCGTCCCCTTCTCCTCCCACCTTCAATCTTTCCCAACATCACGGTCTTTTCCAATGAGTCGGCACTTCATATCAGGTGGCCAACGTATTGGAGATACAGCTTCAGCATCAGTCCTTCTAATTAATATTCAGGATTGATTTCCTTTAGGATGGACTGGTTTGATCTCCTTGCAGTCCAAGGGGCTCTCAAGAGTCTTTTAACACCACAGTTTGAAAGCAATAATTTTTCAAAGCTTTTAGTTAATATCAAAACTGAAGCATGTACCTTTTTGAAATAAATTTGTGTCTGGTTTAGCAAAGCTGGTATGTTGTAAGAGACTAGGGTATTGGCAGACTAGATCATGAGATTTTTTAAAGATTTTGTTTACTTATTTATCTTTGACTGCACCGGGTCCTAGCTGTGGTGTGTGGCCCCTCTCTAGTTGGGGTGTGCAGGCTCCAGAGTGCCTGGGCTCAGTAGTTGGGCCCAGCAGATGCAGTGTGCAGGCTTGGTTGTCCTGAGGCAGGTGGGATCATAGTTTCTTGACCAGGGATAGAACCCACGTCCCTTGCACTGAAAGGTAAATTCCCAACCTCTAGACCATGAGGGAAGCCTCTAGGTCATAGTATTTTCAAACTGGAGTCAGACTGTTTGATGTGACTTTTGAGAACACTTTTGAAATTTAGGCCCAATTTTTTCAAACGTTTAAGACAAAAGCAGTCTTTGCATGATTGTTATTCATTCCATGATGCTTAATTTTGTCAGAAGCAAGAACAGTGTCATCCTTAACTTAAAAAACTTAGTTGTTTTCTTTTCAGCAATGAGAAATGGATCAGAGGTGGAGACCCAGAGCTAACCCGGCCTGCCTTCCTTCTCAGGCCTACATTCAGTGTAATGAAGACAGTGTGGACCGGGACATCCAGACCGAGGAAGTGGAGACTCGGGAAGTGTGGACCCAGCACCCGGGGGAAGGCGCCGCTGTGTCTGGGGGTAATGGCCTCTGCCCCAGGCCTTGGCGGTTGTGTTCACCCCCTTTCTTGTTCTTTCCTCGGTCTCGTATGTGCCTGCGTGTGTGCTGACCGTGGAAACAGCAGTGAGTTTGCAGACACCACCGCAGCCTGGAGGCCTGGCCTGGGCCCTGCCTGAGGCTCGTGACACTCGCTCTTGAATAGAGGAGAGAGCCCGACTCCAAACCAGCACCCGCAGAGGTGCTGCTCAGAGACCCCGTGCTCTCCAGTGGCTCACATGCTTAGAGCGCTTTCTTCCCTAAGTACATTCTCCAGCTGTGTCACATGGAGACAGGTGGAAGGCCCTGGACGGTGTGGAGTTCTGCGCCCACTGGTTCTTCTCAGTTACTTACGTGCTAACTATTACTTCACTGGATGATTGTTTACTCTGAGGAATTACCTGCGTCACTCCCGTTCCTCAGGGAAGCTTTATCCTAAAAAGTAACAAACCTAAACATTGTTGTTCAGTTGCTTAATCATGTCTGGCTCTTTGTGACCCTGTGGACTGCAGCAGGCCAGGCCTCCCTGTCCTTCATTATCTCCTGGAGTATGCCCAAACTCAAGTCCACTGAGTCGGTGATGCCATTCAACCATCTCATCCTCTGTCATCCCCTTCTCCTCCCGCCGTCAATCTTTCTCAGCATCAGGGTTTTTTCAAATGAGTCAGTTCTTCACATCAGGTGGCCAAAGTATTGGGGTTTCAGCTTCAGCATCAGTCCTTCCAATTAATATTCAGGGTTGATTTCTTTTAGGTTGACTGGTTTGATCTCCTTGCAGTTCAAGGGACTCTCAAGAGTTTTCTCCAGCACCACAGTTCAAAAGTATCAATTCTTTGGTGCTTAGCCTTCTTTATGGTCCAACTCTCACATCCATATATGAACTGCTGGAAAAACCACGGCTTTGACTATACAAATCTTTGTCAGCAGAGTAATGCCTCTGCTTTTTTATACACTGTCTAGGTTTGTCATAGCTTTCCTTCCAAAGAGCAAGTGTCTTTTATTTTCATGACTGAAGTCACCATCCACAGTGATTTTGGAGCCCCTTTAAAAAAGTGTGTCACTGTTTCCCCTTCTATTTGTCATAAAGTGATTTGCCTGGATGTCATGATCTTAGTTTTTTTAATATTGAGTTTTAAGCCAGCTTTTTCACTGTCCTCTTTCACACATCTCAAGAGGCTCTTTTGTTTGTCTTCACTTTCTACCATTAGAGTGGTATCATCTTCATATCTGAGATTGTTGATATTTCTTACAGAAATCTTGATTCCAGCTTGTGCTTCATCCAGCCTGGCATTTCATGTGATGTACTCTGTGTGTAAGTTAAATAAGCAGTGTGACAATATACAGCCTTGACGTACTCCTTTTCAAATTTGGAACCAGTCTGTTGTTCCATGTCCAGTTCTAACTGTCGCTTTTTGTCCTGCATACAGGTTTCTCAGGAGACTGGTAAAGTGGTCTGGTGTTCTCATCTCTTTAAGAATTTTCCACAGCTTGCTATGATCTGCACAGTCAAAGGCTTTCATGTCGTCAGTGAAACATGTTTTTCTGGAATTTCCTTGCTTTCTTTCTGATCCAGTGAATGTTTGTAATATGATTACTGGTTCTTCTGCCTTTTCTAAATCCAGCTTATACATCTGGAAGTTCTTGGTTCACATACTGCTGAAGCCTAGCTTGAAGGATTCTGAGCATAATCTTGCTAGCCGTTTGAACATTCCTTGGCATTGCCTTTCTTAGGGATTGGAGTCAAAACTGACCTTTCCAGTCCTGTGGCCACTGCTTAGGTTTCCAAATTTCTGGCACATTGAGTGCAGCACTTCAGCAGCAGCATCTTTTACGATTTTAAGTGGTTCAGCTGCAATTCCATCACCTCCGCTTTGTTCGTAGTGATACTTCCCAAGACCCGCTTGACTTCGCACTCCCAGATGTCTGGCTCTAGGGGAGTGATCACACCATCATGGTTATTCTGGTCATTAAGAGCTTTTTTGTATAGATCTTCTGTGTATTCTTTCCACCTCTTAATCTCTTCTGCTTCTGTTAGGTCCTTACTGTTTCCTGTTTTTTATCATGCCTATCCTGGCATGAAATATTCCCTTGAGTATCTCCAATTTTCTTGAAGCAATCTCTAGTCTTTCCCATTCTATTGGTTTCCTGTATTTCTTTCTTTCTTTTTTTTTTGTTTAAAACTGTTATTGGTCAAAAAAATGGAAATTATAAAATTATTGCATAGGGAAAATATGCTAGTAATTTAAAAACAGGCTAAATAATAAAGTTTGCATATGTTAACAGGTGGAAGGCTGAGAAGAATCTTTTTTTTTAATATTCTTACACCATAAGATTTATTGTTTTTATTTGAGATGTTGCCAAGATTTTTTTTTGAGTATTTTAAAAGTTTTATCATTATTTTTTTTTATTTTTAAAAAAAATTTATTTTAATTGGGGGCTAATTCCTTTACAATATTGTAGTGATTTCTGCCATACACTGACATGAATCAGCCGTGGGTGCACATGTGTCCCCCATCCTGAACCCCCCTCCCGCCTCCCTCCCCACCCCTCAGGGTCGTCCCAGCGCGCCGGCCCTGAATGCCCTGTGCTCATGCGTTGAACCTGGGCTGGTGATCTGTTTCACATATGGTGATACACGTGTTTCAGTGCTGTTCTCGCAAATCACCCCACCCTCGCCTTCTCCCACAGAGTCCAAAAGTCTGTTCTGTACATCTGTGTCTCTTTTGCTGTCTCGCATATAGGATCATCATTGCCATCTTTTCTAAATTCCATATATATGCATTAGTATACTGTATTGGTGTTTTTCTTTCTGACTTACTTCATTCTGTATAATAGGCTCCAGTTTCATCCACCTCATTAGAACTGATTCAAATGAATTCTTTTTAATGGCTGAGTAATATTCCATGGTGTATATGTACCACAGCTTCCTTATCCATTCATCTGCTGATGGACGTCTAGGTTGCTTCCATGTCCTGGCTATTATAAACAGTGCTGCGATGAACATTGGGGTGCACATGTCTCTTTCAGTTCTGGTTTCCTCGGTGTGTATGCCCAGGAGTGGGATTGCTGGGTCATATGGCAGTTCTGTTCCCAGTTTTTTAAGGACTTTCCACACTGTTTTCCATAGCAGCTGTACTAGTTTTCATTCCCACCAACAGTGTAAGAGGGTTCCCTTTTCTTCACACCCTCTCCAGCATGTATTGCTTGTAGACTTTTGGATAGCAGCCATCCTGACTGGCGTGTAATGGTACCTCATTGTGGTTTTGATTTCCATTCCTCTGATAATGAGTGATGTTGAGCATCTTTTCATGTGTTTGTTAGCCATCCATATGTCTTCTTTGGAGAAATGTCTGTTTAGTTCTTTGGCCCATTTTTTGATTGGGTCATTTATTTTTCTGGAATTGAGCTGCAGGAGCTGCTTATATATTTTTGAGATTAATTCTTTGTCAGTTGCTATTATTTTCTCCCATTCTGAAGGCTGTCGTTTCACCTTGCTTATAGTTTTCTTTGTTGTGCAAAAGCTTTCAAGTTTAGTTAGGTCCCATTTGTTTATTTTTGTATTTCTTCCCATTACTCTGGGAAGTGGATCATAGAGGATCCTGCTGTGATATATGTTATGATATATATGAATCTTCTTTCTCAAGATTGCTTTGGCTATTCGAGGTTTTTTTGTATTTCCATACAAATTGTGAAATTATTTGTTCTAGTTCTCTGAAAAATACCATTGGTAGCTTGATAGCGATTACATGGAATCTATAGATTCCTTTGGGTAATATACTTATTTTCGCTATATTGATTCTTCCAATCCATGAACATGGTATATTTCTCCATCTGTTTGTATCCTTTTTGATTTCTTACATCAGTGTTTTATAGTTTTCTATATATAGGTCTTTTGTTTCTTTAGGTAGATTTATTCCTATGTATTTTATTCTTTTCGTTGCAATGGTGAATGGAATTGTTTCCTTAATTTCTCTTTCTGTTTTCTCATTGTTAGTTATAGGAATGCAAGGGATTTCTGTGTGTTAATTTTATATCCTGCCACTTTACTATATTCGTTGATTAGCTCTAGTAATTTTCTGGTAGTGTCTTTAGGGTTTTCTATGTAGAGAATCATGTCCTTTGGAAACAGTGAGTTTTACTTCTTCTTTTCCATCTGGATTCCTTTTATTTCTTTTTCTTCTCTGATTGCTGTGGCCAAAACTATGTTGAATAGTAGTGGTGAGAGTGGGCATCCTTGCCCTGTTCCTGACTTTAGGGGAAATGCTTTCAATTTTTCACCATTTGAGGATAATGTTTGCTGTGGCTTTAACATATATGGCTTTTCTTATGTTGAGGTATGTTCCTTCTATGCCTGCGTTCTGGAGACTTTTTACCATAAATGGATGTTGAATTTTGTCAAAGGCTTTCTCTGCATCTATTGAGATAATCATATGGTTTTTATCTTTCAATTTGTTAATGTGGTGTATTACATTGATTGATTTGTGGATATTGAAGAATCCTTGCATCCCTGGGATAAAGCCCACTTGGTCATGATTTATGATCTTTTTAATATGTTGTTGGATTCTGTTTGCTAGAATTTTGTTAAGGTTTTTTGAATCTATGTTCATCAGTGATATTGGCCTGTAGTTTTCTTTTTTTGTGGCATCTTTGTCTGGTTTTGGTATTAGGGTGATGGTGGCCTCTTGAATGAGTGTGGAAGTTTACCTTACTCTGCAATTTTCTGGAACAGTTTGAGTAGGATAGGTGTTAGTTCTTCTCTAAATTTTTGGTAGAATTCTGTGAAGCCATCTGGTCCTGGGCTTTTGTTTTTTGGAAGATTTTTGATTATGGTTTTGATTTCCTTGCTTGTGATGGGTCTGTTAAGATTTTCTGTTTCTTACTGGTTCAGTTTTGGAAGGTTATACTTTTCTAAGAATCTGTCCATTTCTTCCAAGTTGTCCATTTTATTGGCATATAGTTGCTGACAGTCTCTTAAGATCCTTTGTATTTCCGTGTTGTCTGTTGTGATTTCTCCATTTTCATTTCTAATTTTGTGGATTTGATTCTTCTCCCTTTTTTTCTTGATGAGTCTGGCTAATGGTTTGTCTCTTTTATGTATCTTCTGGAAGAACCAGCTTTTAGTTTTGTTGATTTTTGCTGTAGTCTCTGTTGTTTCTTTTTCATTTATTTCTGCCCTAATTTTTATGATTTCTTTCCTTCTACTAACCTTGGGATTCTTCATTTCTTCTGTTTCTAGTTGCTTTAGGTATAAAGTTAGATTATATATTTGATTTTTCTCTTGTTTCTTGAGGTAAGCTTGTAATATGAACCTTCTGCTTAGCACTGCTTTTACTGAATCCCATAGGTTTTGGGTTGTTTTCTTTTCATTTTCATTCATTTCTATGCATATTTTGATTTCTTCTGTGATTTGTCGGTTATTCAGAAGTGTATTGTTTAGCCTCTATATGTTTGTATTTTTAATAGTTTTTTTTCCCATAGTTGACATCCAATCTTACCACATTGTGATCAGAAAAGATGCTTGAAATAATTTCATTTTTTTTAAAATTTACCAAGGCTAGATTTATGGCCCAGAATGTGATCTATCCTGGAGAAGGTTCCGTGTGCACTTGAGAAGAAGGTGAAATTCATTGTTTTGGGGTGAAATGTTCTGTAGATATCATTTAGGTCTAACTGGTGCATTCTGTCATTTAGAGCTTGTGCTTCCTTGCTAATTTTCTGTTTAGTTGATCTATCCATAGGTGTGAGTGGGGTATTAAAGTCTCCCACTATTATTGTATTATTGTTGATTTCCCCTTTCATACTCATTAGCATTTGCCTTACATATTGCGGTGCTCCTATGTTGGGTGCATATATATTTATAATTGTTATATCTTCTTCTTGGATTGATCCTTTGGTCATTATGTAGTGTCCTTCTTTGTCTCTTTTCATGGCCTTTATTTCAAAGTCTATTTTATCTGATATGACTATTGGTACTCCTGCTTTCTTTTGGTCTCCATTTGCATGAAATATCTTTTTCCAGCCCTTCACTTTCAGTCTGTATGTGTCCCTTGTTTTGAGGTGGGTCTCTTGTAGACAACATATATAGGGGTCTTGTTTTTGTATCCATCCAGCCAGTCTTTGTCTTTTGGTTGGGGCATTCAACCCATTTACATTTAAGGTAATTATTGATAGGTATGATCCTGTTGCCATTTATGTTGTTGTTTTGGGTTCAAATTTATAAACCTTTCCTGTGTTTTCTGTCTAGAGAAGATCCTTTAGCATTTGTTGAAGAGCTGGTTTGGTGGTGCTGAACTGTTTTCCTCTGTTTCTTTGCATTGTTCGCTTAAGAAGGCCTTCTTACCTATATTTGCTTTTGTCTGAAACTCTGCGTTCAAATGGGTGTATCTTTCGTTTTCTCCTTTGCCTTTTGCTTCTCTTCTTTTCTCACTATTTGTAAGGCCTCCTCAGACAACCATTTTGCCCTCTTGCGTTTCTCTTTCTTGGGGATGGTTTTGGTTACTGCTTCCTGTGTGGTGTTACAAACCTCTGTCCATAGTTCTTCAGGCACTCTGTCTACCAGATCTAATCCCTTGAATCTGTTGGTCACCTCCACTGTATAATCGTAAGGGATTTGATTTAGGTCATACCTGAATGGCCTAGTGGTTTTCCCTACTTTCTTCAATGTAAGTCTGAATTTTGTAATAAGGAGCTCATGATCTGAGCCACAGTTAGTTCCAGTCTTGTTTTTGCTGACTGTATAGGTCTTCTCCATCTTTGGCTCAAAGAGTATAATTGGTCTGATTTTGGTATTGACCATCTGGTGATGTCCATGTGTAGAATCTTCTCTTGTGTTGTTGGAAGAGGGTGTTTGCTACGACCAGTGCGTTCTCTTGGCAAAACTCTATTTGCCTTTGCCCTGCTTCATTCTGTACTCCAAGGCCAAATTTGCCTGTTACTCCAGGTATCTCTTGACTTCCCCATTTTTCATTCCAGTCCCCTATCATGAAAAGGACGTCTTTTTTTTGGTGTTAGTTCTAGAAGGTGTTGCAGGTGTCATAGAACTGGTCAACGTGGCACTGGTGGTTGGGGCATTGACTTGGGTTACTGTGATGTTGAGTGGTTTGCCTTGGGAATGAAGCAAGATCCTAAATGTAACACATGCACAGTGAAATGATGCTCTGCGTAGGACTCTGCTTACAGACTTTCTGTGAACAGTTTCCTGTGAGGAATGAGGAGGAGCTGGGCTCTGGAGGGTGGGTCATGACCTCCTGGCTTCTCCTTCTGGGGTCTTGGTTCGCTGATACACCCTTCCAGGTGTGTGGCCTTGACTGGGAGCCCACCTGGTGGGTTTCCCCTCGGCAGGGGTTGATGTGAGCTGTTTTTCAGGGAGTGAGCAGAGTGGTCCCGGAGATACTGCCATCGTCCCGAAAGTCAACACGCCCCGTCTGTCCAGCTTCCTGCGGGCAGCCTGCCAGGTACGCTCTGCGGGGGGCGGGGACCCGGTGCTGCACATGCTGTTTGGACTCTGAACAGTAGTACTGATCACCTGCATTTTAGAGTAAATGTAGACAGAAGAACAGACATAACTAAATTGGCAAGGCGAGCACACGTCTAGGGTTTTAAAACTTGTAAACTCATGACTTTGAAGGGTGGTTATGGGAATTTTCAAAGCCCATACGAAGGTCAGAGGGTCCCGTGTACTTCAGGGTCCCGGTGTCCACTACCTCCCCTCCCCGTAGCCGTCCTGAGTGTGACCCCGCACCCACAAGGGCACTGGCAGGACTTGGTGTCACGCTGGCCTGCACCGCAGCCCAGGCGGGCAGGCTGTGTTGCTGTGGGTAACGTGTTTGTGCCCTGTCTCTTCTCGAGGAGCTGGAGGGCCCCGCACCCCCTCCCTGCCCCGGGTCTCTGCCGTGGAAATCGGCACCAGCGTTGCATTGTGGCTCTGCAGTTACAGAGGCGAGCTTTACTTGGTAGTCTGTACTGCTCTGCGGAAGGGGCAGTCTAGCTTCTGGTCGTTTCTGTGAGTCTGGGGCTCAGTTAACTTAAGGGATGGGTAGGTTCAGGTAGTGCTCTGTGGCTTTTGCTTTTCTTTGCCAACGAGTCCATCTGCGAGTGCTGATGAAGGCCTGCTCACGCGTCTGTTGCAGGTGATGGCAGTTCTGCTTGAAGAGGACCGGGCAGTGGCTGAGCCGGGCTGGATGTCCCAGGCTCAGGACTGCACCCTGCCTTTCAGCGACAGCTGCGCGCGGCTGGACACCAGCCTGCCCTTCCTGCAGGGTAAGCAGCCCTCTGGGTGGACGTGGACCCCACGACGGTGATCCTCACTGGGCCTCCTGAAAGGCTTTGTTGGCCAGAGCAGAGGCTCGGCTTCTGCAGCCTCGAGTGTGTGTGCCACAGTCCTCACCAGAGGGATACGCAGTGATTTAAGGGAAAATTTGTTTTCAGTCCTGCGTCTCTTAATTTCTTTTGGTTTCTTGGGTAGAGGAGCGGGGGGAGCTGCGGGCAGTCCAGGTGGGAGTCGAGTGGTGAGATTTGAGCTGATCTGTGGTCACAGCACAAACGCTGCCCCAGTGAAGCCTGTGTCTTCCCACGTACATCAGAAGCTGAACAAATTTCACGTGTTCAGTTCTTCAGTGAGTCTCTGCCTTGCCAGCTGGTGAGGGCTTGGGTGGGGCCGGGGTCGTGGTCTGAGGACAGGAGGGTGGGCAGTGCTTTCCAGGGTGCCTCTGGGCCGGCGGGACCTAGTGTGTGGCTGCCACTTGTTCTAGAAGTTTCTGTGAAGATTCAGAGTCACGTCCAGCTCTCTGCACTGACCATTAACACCAGTGGTGTGAAGTTAACAAGCACGTGTTATTTGAGCACATTTTTGTGTTTAAAAGTTGAGTTATCCTATTAGAAAAACGATAAATTGTAGCATTGAAAACACAGAAGCCCACAAATCCACCTCCCTCTCCACCCCAGGAAACAGGAGTTTAAGAAGTGCTTTCCTCTGATCCCTGGACTGGGGCAGGGATTGGGGGGGGTGGTGATGCACAGTGTGCGGGGTGGGAGGTGGGGGAAGGGGGGCGGTGGGGGGGTGGGGAGGCCACACTCCCACAGAACCCTTCCTCAGACAAGGACGACGCAGGTGTGTTGTCTTGGACTTGCCCTTTAGTTCCACCAGTGGGCAGAGCAGAGGTTTTTCTTGTCTCTGTTTTAGTAAAGTGAGTTTTAAGGTGACAGAGGGAAGTTGGGACGCAGGTGCCCGTGACCTGAGCTCCCTGAGCTTGGAGGGAGCGGTGGGCCCTTCTCAGTGTCAGCGGCCGTCCAGTGCTGGCGCCCAGCCTTCCTTCTGAGGGCCCCGCAGATACGCGGGCGTGCGGGCAGGTCGTGGGCCTTGGAGCCGCAGTGGACAGACAGAAACCCTGCATCCCCGGACGAACAAGGGTGCTGGACAGTGTCTGAGGGCAGGCGTCAGGAGGAGGCCGTCCAGGGCCCTGCTGCAGGCGGACAAGCACTGACTGGGCAGACATGATGCCCCCCCAACCCCCTGCTCCCCAGGTCCCCTCCGCACCCCCGGCCCGTGGGAGTAGATGGTGGATGGTGGGGTCCTGGGCCGTGCTGAGCTGCGTGTGGAGGAGGGTGGCTTCTTTCAAATGAGGCCACCCAGACGTTTTCGAGTTGAGCTTGGCCACTCATCAAAACCCTGGTTTCGGGCGATAGCATCTTTGAAAGACCATGTCTTCTTCACTAAGCTGAAACATACTGGCGTAACCTTGTGTGTTAATGTAATGTGGGTTCTGGAGCATTTTTCTTGTCTTGTCCGCAGAGCGGAGAGTGTCCCGCCTGCACGCGTGTCAGGCTCAGCGGCGCACGCTGGTGTCTGTGCACGGGCTGCCGGGGAAGGCCTTGGTGCCCCTGCTGGACCACAGACACGTGCTCTGTGTGTGGGACATCCGGCAGCCGTCAGGGCCCCAGAAGGTCCTGGTGTGCGAGTCGAAGGTACAGCCTGGGGGGCCGAGGGCGTGACTTGAGGGCGTGGGCCCCAGGGAGGGGCGTCCGGGGTCACGGCTTTCCGTCCCGCCGCCATGTGCGGAGTGAGGGCGCAGGAGCTCTTAATACGAAGCACCGGGTTGACTGAGGGGCCACGTGGCCACAGTCCCCAGGCCCTGAGGGTGGGCGTCTGCCCGGCTCTGGGTTCGTGGAAGCACCAGCCTGGCATCCTTGGGATAGTGGAAGTGAGCTTCCCGGCTTGCTCCGTCTGGGTCACGGGTGCTTTAGAGGTTTCTTCCTGTGCCTGGAATTTTCTGAGTCCTTAGCGCGTGTGTTTCCCGGCTCCTGGTGAGTGGGACTGTGGAGTGGCGACTACATGGGTACAGGGCAGAGTTCTGTTTCTAATCCTGTGGCTCTGGACTTCAGAAACATCTGGTTTTCACTCCACTGCTCGTCGTGCTGGGGGCTTGAACATAGCTTACTGTGATGCAGGGTATAGATAAAATGACGGGCGGCTCAGCTGTGCCGGACACCCTGCGGCCGCCACCCCATGTCCCAAAGAGGGCACCCTCAGAGGGGCCAGCTGCTTGCCGCGGTTCCCCGTGTCCAGATATAGAGTCCCTGAGGGCCGGCGATCCCTGTCCCCGGCCCCACCTCTGCCTGGCCCCACCTCCCCATCCCTGCACCCCAACCTGGCCCTGGCTCTCTGGCCCCGCCCCCCACCGGCCCGGTGCCCCGGCCCCACCCGCCCCAGCCTCCGGTCCCCCCTCCTCAGCCCTGCTGTCTCTACGGCTCTCTAGGTCACATGCTGCTGCTTCAGCCCTGTGAAAGCCTTCCTGCTGTTTGCGGGGACCGTGCATGGCTCGGTGGTCGTGTGGGACCTGAGGGAGGACCCCAGGATCCATCTCCGCGTGACGCTGAGCGGGTGCTCCTGGACGCTCAGGGCCCCCACCTTCTCCACTGGTCAGTGACACCGCCCACCGGCTCGGGTCCCCCGGAGCAGCTGCGAGGCCCCTTTGCGTCCTCCATGCAGGCCGCCCCAGAGGATGCCCTGACCTCGAGGCACAGGAGGCCTGTGCCAGCCAGGGGAGCAGCATCTTTCTGGGGTGGCTCGGGTGGTGACAGCAGTGATGGGCTGCTTGTCCTGTCAGCTCTGGGGCTCCAGGTCCTCAGCGAAGGGGCGCCGGGGTTGCCTCAGCCTGAGATCATTGGTTTGTGCGCGCCCATGGCCCGGGCTGGAGGAGAGGAGAGGTAGTGACCCCTCGAGGTGGGATGGACCCAGAGCCACTGGACCTGTCAGGACCCCGAGTTAGACTCGTGTGTATACTTCATGCCACGCAGCTGCTGCCACAACCAACCACAACCACGACCACAGTTAACAACAATAGCTCGTCACAGCCATAGCCGATCACAACCACAACCACAGTTACAGCCACAGCCGATTGCAACCTAAGCCCAACCACTGTTGCAATCACAACCAAAACCACAACCTCAAACGAGCACTGTGTTCTGGGGTTCCCCCCCCCCCCCCCCCGCGCTGTGTGGGCGTGTCCCACGCAGGCCGTCCGGGCCTCTCCCGGTGCTCAGGGAGATGGGAGGCTTATCTGTGGTCACACTGGCCATGCAGGGGCCAGCACCCAGGTGGTCTCCGGTCCTTCCACGTTTCTGCCCAGGAACGTCACTCTTCTCCCCCACCCCCAGCTGACTTTGGGTTTCCCCGCCCTCACCATCCCACGAGGTTTTGTCTGTTTTGTCTCACGGTGAGGGCTGAGATCCTGTAGCATCCCGACCTTGGAGTCAACTTTCCTCCTCTTAGCGAGAAGTCATGCCCACAGGTCATGGTGTGCGGGGTCAGGACATCACTCCTCTGCTGGGCAGGCCCCCATGGGCGCCACATGGCTTTACCCGCCCAGCGGTCAGCTGCTTCTGGTCAGTTCCCTCTGTCCATGGTCAGGACGGGCATCTGCGCCGCAGGCGTGGCGGCCGCAGGTCCTCACTGCGGGCTGGCAGCCTTTCTGCTCCAGCCGGCGTCCCTGAGATCGCAGGGTGCCGGGTGTCTGTCTTCAGCGGGGCGTCTGTACAGGCCTTCTGGACACAAGTGAATCAACGTGCTGCTTCTGACTGTTGTGCTTTAAGGGTCCGTGTGTTCTCAGTACTGTCCTGGGTAGACTTGTCTGGGTTGTCTCCAGCCCTTAACCAGGCCAGCCCTCGGTGTTCTGTTCCTGGCCCCCTCTGGGGAACTCCATGCATATACTGCATGCCTGTTTATGTAGTGTGAGTTTGTCTGTGTTTTATACATAAAAAGACAACATTTTTTTGGTCTCCCAACAACCAGTTTTTCCCCCTTTGGGGGTGAAATTGCCACTGTTGAGAATGTGTCAGTTTATAGGTACCTTATGGATCCGTTGCTACTGGAAAAGGTATCTTTTAAGATCGTGTATTTTCTAACTGCTGCTATTACTAATTAGTGCTTGAATTCACCACCAAACACTGAAATGCTCAGGATTTGAAACTTAATATTCTATTAAAATGCTTCCTTTTTTTTTTTTTTTGCTATGTAAACACTGTCACAAAAACCTTCAAAGTTCCAGTAACTTTGAGTCGGAGAACACCCCTCCTCAGTGGGCCTCCAGTTCATTGAGTCTGAAGTCTGTCATTCTCCGTTCCAGAGAGCATTTTGTCCTTTTCTTCAATTTCAACCCTAACTCTCATTTTCCTTCTGATGTTTTTAAATCCATTTTTGTTCTAGGTTTCTGATTCCAGGTGTTTTTATTTGTTAGATGTATTTCCAAGTGCTTTTTGGAAACCTGTGATGTCGTCTGGGTGCTGGGCATTGGTCTTTCTGTTCCATGCTCGTTTCTGGAGGGAGAATTTTCAGGGGTTGAAATGCTTCCATTTGCGTTTTCTATCTAGTTTCTGTGGCAGTGTTGTGCGGCGTTTGTCTTCCTCTGCTAGGGGGCATTTTGCAGGTGGGTTTGCCAGGTCAGAGGAGCTCTGTTCTGTTGGGCTGTGAAGGTGCTTCTCCTCTGGCTGCGAGCCTCTGTCTCCTTCTGAAGCTGGAAGCAGTTTCCGCTGTCTCTGGGACCCCCTCTTGCTGTGGAGAGTGCCCGAGCCCCCCAGTCTGTCCTCGCACCTGCAGCTGTGCAGACACGGCGCTTGGGGGACTCCGCTCGCCTTCTCCTCCCAGGCGGATGTGGTCTGTGGCCTCTGCTCCTCGGCCGTGCCGAGAGCCATGGCACGTGCACTTCCACAGTTTTGCGCGTGGCTGGGCACCTGCGGACACGTGCGTGCCCCGCACAGGCGGCTGTGCTCCATGACCCACCACATGCACACACTGCCTGTGCTCTGCCCCCAGACGGCGTCCTGATGTCCGTGAACCACTGCAGCCCCCTCCAGGCAATAGAGCCCATCACGGGGTCTGTCTGCAAGAGGCAGAGCTGTGTGCTTTCACCCTTTTCTACTCAAGAAGGTATGTGACCTTCACTTCTGTAAATCTGAGCTCCAGTGTGAGACGTGGTTTCTGGTTACGAGCCGGTTCTTCCCCACTTGTGTCCTCACCAGAGACAGCAGGCCTGTCCTTCCTCATTGCTTCCTTGGACGAAAGCGGGCTTCTCAATGTGTGGGTGAGTCGGGCACATGGTCAGTGGTGGGGGACAGGTAGTGATGTGTGCGGGCGTGGGGGAAGGGCAGGGGGCGACATGTATGTGAGGTGGCAGAGCTCTCAGCCAGGAAACCGGGACCAGGCAGCTTGCAGGGAACTCCTGGGGGAACAGGGGATGGAGGGGGGCAGCTTCAGGGCCTGTCACCGGAGGGAAGAAGAAGGTCAAAGTCGGGGGTTCATAGCATTTAAACATTAGTCTTCCTTCTGGAGCAACTGTGTCCTTAGCATGTCGTGTGACGTGCTGTCTTGATCACAGCTGTGCTTTGCTTAGACTGTTTCCCGCTTATCCTGTGTGCTGACCCTCGTCTCTGATGGTCTGTTTCAGGTGGTGGTTGAATTACAGAAGGCAGATGCTGCAGGTTCAATAAGTGACTTAGGTAACTAAAAATAAAAAACTAATTTTAGGCAACGTTTGCTAGAATCACTTTGAAGAATCAGTTACTAGCCACATGGAAAATGGAGATTAAAGTTGTGTATTTTATAACCCACCGACTGTTGCACAGGCCTGACGCCCTTGTTGCAGGAGGACATGTGTCCTCTTTGTGCCTTCGTGGCGTCTGCTTCTCATCCCCTGGGGCGTCCCTGTGACTCATGTCTGAGGAGCCCTTGGTGTGACCCCTGAGGTCTCTGACCGTACCCCTACCCCTGGGTGGGGGAGAGGGGGTTGGCTGGCAGTTTGCTGTCCTGATGCCCAGGGCTCGGGCACCAAGGAGCCCCAGCCTGCACTTCTCAGAGCCCCAGTTGGTTGTTTTGTGACCAGGCTAGAGGCGCTGCCATAGATCCGGCCAAAAAGTAGAACCAGAGCCACTCTGACTGTCCCTGACTTCTTGAAATGAAGGAGGGGCATCTCCTGCGAGCAGGGCCCGTGCTGGGAGCCTGGTGCTGCTGCGGGGCCTTGCGAGGGTCCCTCCTGAGAGGGTAACAAGCCAGGGAGGCCAGGGGTCTCCAAACAGAGGAAATAGGCTGCAAGTGGCAGACGTTTTTTCTCTCTCTCTTAAGCGACAGGAGGAAACTGGTGTTATATTTTTTTCCCCTTCTCTATACAGATTTAAAAAGAGGCTTCTGTTAAAATTCTGTGTTGCCATAATGACACCTGGTTCCACCTGAACTCAACTTGTCTCAAACTTTGAGCTAACCAGTGCATTTTTCTTATGGAAATGTTTGTCTTAAGCTATGTTAATGTACTGTGTATTTACCCTAGACTCTTTGTCTGTCTTCAAGTCGGTTCCACCTAAGACTCAGAATCGACTTGACAAACCAGTATGTTTTACTCACGCAAATGTTCTCCTAAGCTATATTTTAAGGGGACTATGTCTTTGCTTGGAAACCTCCCTTTCTTCAAGATTCATGTCACTGGTTTTATGGCGGGGACGACTCACCTGGTGTCAGTGTTATCTCAGAACGCCTGTTGTGGGTGAGGGGCCTGGTGCCCTCTGAGTTTTGAGACATCTGCTTTCTCTACTTAGCAGACTGCTGATAGGAATATAACCTACTGCTGAAGGCCAACAGGCAGCACTCTCTCTGCCCCCTTCTGATGTCTATGTCAGAAGCTGTCTGTCTCTTTTATACTTTAATAAATGTTTATCACACAAAAGCTCTGAGCGATCAAGCCTCCTCTCTGACCCTGGATTGAATTCCTCTCCTCTGGAGGCCAAGAATCCTGGCGTCTTTCATGGCTCAGCAACAGCCTTTCACTCCCAAGGGGCCATTTTTTCCGCCTCTCTTGCAGTCCGGCTCTGTTCCTGGGCTGCGAGCAGGGCTGCGTGGGGGATGTCGGGGCGGGATGGGGCTGGAGGGACGTCCCCGCCAGCACAGGTAACCCAGACCAGTGGGAGGAGATTTCCAGAGGAGGGTTTCTGTGGGGAACTGGAGGACTGTTGAATATTCACTTTTTGCTTTTAGAAGTATATTTCCGTTTTAAAGTCAAATCTAAAAATGGAAAGGCTTTTGATTCCAGCAGCCCTCTTCCCTCCAGGCCCTCAGCTTCCAGCTCCTAATTCATCCCAGGCACCTGCAGGGCCCTCCCCTGCACAAGGGCGGGGCAGCCCTCACCGCCCTACTTTTGATGTTCTCCCAGCCCAGGCCTTAAACAGTGAAAAGGAATTCCAGATGCTTGGGTTTTGGTATAACTTGTACCAAGAGGTGCCTTTATTCCTGGTTACTCTGTAGGTTTAATACCTGGAGGACGGATAAAACTGGTACACAGCGCTTCGATCCAGCTGAGTGACAGGTGAGTCTATGCCCATTAAGCCCTATTTCCCACAGGAGGAAACAGCCTTAGGTAATAAGTTATGGTCAGACTGGTGCTGGAGAATCCTGGCTTCTGACATTGTTTTTTTGCTAAGTAGTTTATTTGCTAACTGGTTTGCTGTTAATGAGTCTGTGTAACAAATGCAATTACCAGGTGTTACAGCTAACATTTTTTCTTGGATTAAAATATTTTCTATCGTATGAATTGGTACTATCTGACTGTTTTTCATCCAGTTTTAATACAACCCTGAAATTAAATAGATGAGGTTCAGAAACTGAAAACATTGACGTGAAAGTTTTATTCAGAAATTAGTTTTCTGTTTTTACTTAAATAACTTACTGTGATGTAAAAATCTTACTAGCTATACGAATATTGTGTATATTTATGTGTCTCAAGTTATTTCCCAAAGCTGTCTCTTCCTGTCACTCACTGCAGCTGGGCTGGCTCCCAGCCTGCGACTGACCTGGAGAGTCCTGATATTAGCCTCCCTGCTGTTCGTCAGTTGGAGCACCCCAGGGTTGTGTTAATGAGTCCATGCATGCTTTGTGGTTAGACATTACCTGCCGTTCCTTTCAGTATAAGTACAACAAGGAATCTGTTAATGTTTGCAAAAACCCACCTAATAAACTGCAGACTCCACCCTGGGCAATCCCAACCCCTCGTGGAATTTCCGTGAGACTCTTCTCATCTCCATTACGGCTTTGTCACTTCATGCCTTGCATTGCAATGGTCTTCACCTGCTTTAAAGGAAGTGTCACCTGGAGCTGATGTTGGATCTCCCCCACAGAACACCTAGCAGTGCCCAGCCCCTGTCGGGGTGCAGCAGACATCCACTCAGACCTTGCCCACACGCTGGCCATACGGAGTGTGCTCTGTCAGCTGCTTTGTGGGGCCTTTCACTTAGGGGCCCCCAAGTGCAGACCAGCAACCCGTGGCTACTGCGGCCCACAGGGTTGGCATCTGGCAGGAGGGGGACAGGGAGCTGCCCGGCCCCGGAGCTCAGAGCCACCTCGCCAGCCTCAGCCCCCTTCCTCGGTTGCTGAACGTGGGTGTCCCTGGGGTGGGGGGAACCCTGGGGCCGCCAGGCCTCCACTGAGGGGGTCCTGGTGGCCCGTCCCCTTGTTGCTGTGGCACGGGACACACGGAGGGGACACGTGGAGTGTGGGCGAGTGAGTGAGTGACGGGATGGGTGAAGGGACTGTCCAGAGCCTAGAAAATGGAACTGGAGACGTGTCCAGTGGCCGATGACAGGTATTGGTGTCACCTTTGCCCTGACAGTTTCAAGACTGCCCATCTGTCCATCTTTGCTGTTTTTTTCCAGCCTTTCTCATAAAGGTTATGAATCCTGGGGGTCTGTGCAGACACTGAGCGTTAAATTTCTGCCTTCAGACCCTAATCACTTTGTTGTCGGCACAGACGTGGTGAGTAACCGTCTAGACCTCTTTCTATGGCTACAGTGGCTTGATAAGTATCTTCACTGGAGCTTAGCTTCTGGTTTGCTCTGATCATAATGTTTAAATAGCCTCGCCCCGCCTGGTTCCCACCCCCTCGCTCCCCCACAGGGCCTCATCAGCCACGGCAGCAGACGGGACCTCAGAGTGTCTCCCAGGCTGTTCCGGCCCCAGCAGCAGGGCCCGAGGCCTGTGAAAGTGACCGTGATTGACTTCTCACCATTTGAGGAGCCCATATTCCTGGTAAGGATGCCTGTTTGTAAGCACTGACGCCTTGGCAGTGTCTGCTGTAATCTCCAGCACTTGGTTCTGTATGCATTGGCTCCTGGCTTCCTGAGGTCCCATCTGCGTGGTCAGTACAGTTGGTTCCACTGTGCTGCCGTGTGGATCTTATTTACACTTTTTATTCTGACCTATGTACATTTGTAGAGAAGTTACAAGGATGGCGCAGAGCACTCCCCACCCGCCCTGAGTCTGCAGTGGCCCGCGTGTGGCCAGGGTGCTCCACCCCAGGGGCTGATGTGCGTTCACCTCCTGTGGCCACGGGTCGGTCCACCAGTCCTGCTGTCTGCAGGCCTGACTGCGGCCCCGTGGCTGTCCCACCAATGTCCTTTGTGAGCAGGATCGTGGCCCAGGTCAGGAGTCCTGTCCATTTACTGTGTCCCATCCTCACTGCCCTCACCTGGGAATAGACTCAGCACCTCACAGAGGACCTGGGCACCTGATGCCCCGAGTTGAGTCAGGGGGTGTCCCCTCGTGGTTAGAGACAGGCCTTGTCCTGACTGTGGGCTCCTCTTTCCCAGTCTGATCAGTCAGGGCCAGGCAGGGAATGTGTGGGCTGAGCTCCTGCTGCTCCCAGGGCGTATCTGTCCCCAGGGCGGCTCTGTCCCCAGGGAGGTTCTGTCCTAAGGGAGGTTCTGTCCCAGGGCAGCTCTGTCCCAGGGTGGCTCTGTCCCAGGGTGGCTCTGTCCCAGGGCGGCTCTGTCCTAAGGGAGGTTCTGTCCCAGGGCGGATCTGTCCCCAGGGAGGTTCTGTCCCAGGGCGGATCTGTCCCAGGGCGGCTCTGTCCCAAGGGAGGTTCTGTCCCAAGGGAGGTTCTGTCCCAGGGCAGCTCTGTCCCCAGGGAGGTTCTGTCCCAAGGGAGGTTCTGTCCCAGGGCGGATCTGTCCCAGGGCGGATCTGTCCTAAGGGAGGTTCTGTCCCAGGGCGGATCTGTCCCAGGGCAGATCTGTCCCAGGGCGGCTCTGTCCCCAGGGAGGTTCTGTCCCAAGGGCGGTTCTGTCCCAGGGAGGTTCTGTCCCAGGGTGGATCTGTCCCAGGGTGGATCTGTCCCAGGGCATCTCTGTCCCCAGGGCGGCTCTGTCTCAGGGCGGATCTGTCCCAGGGCGGATCAGTCCCCAGGGCGGATCTGTCCCCAGGGAGGTTCTGTCCCAAGGGCGGTTCTGTCCCAGGGAGGTTCTGTCCCAGGGTGGATCTGTCCCAGGGTGGATCTGTCCCAGGGCATCTCTGTCCCCAGGGCGGCTCTGTCTCAGGGCGGATCTGTCCCAGGGCGGATCAGTCCCCAGGGTGGCTCTGTCCCCAGGGAGGTTCTGTCCCAAGGGCGGTTCTGTCCCAGGGAGGTTCTGTCCCAGGGTGGATCTGTCCCAGGGCGGATCTGTCCCAGGACAGCTCTGTCCCCAGGGCGGATCTGTCCCAGGGCGGATCTGTCCCCAGGGCGGATCTGTCCCAGGGCGGCTCTGTCCCAGGGCGGCTCTGTCCCAGGGCCCCTGTTCTGCAGGGTGGTTCTGTCACCCTGTTGCTTACTCGTGGGAGCCACCCTGGTGGGAAGACCTCCTCTCCCGCTCATGTGTCTTTCCCTCCTAACGTGGACACCACGACTTTTCGGCACCCTCAGTGGGTTCGGAGTCACTGCCTCTGTATACTCTGCTCTCAGATGGTCCCCCCGGGGCAGGGGCACTGGGTCCGTGAGTGCCTCTCGCTTTCCGGCACAGGAACCCTTGGGATCAGCCATCACTCCAAGGAGTCTTGGCTCCTGTTAGGAGAAAGACACCTAGATACCAGGCCTGGGCAGTCAGAGTGCGCGTTGTCCGGGACATTGTCAAGGTGTCCTCTTATGCCATGCCCCAGTCCCAGGCTGGGCTCCTCCCCTGCCCTCCCAGCAGTGTGAACCCAGCTCCTGTTACCTGTAATAAGTCTGTTTCCTCCGTTTTGGGATTCACAGACCCTTTTGTGATTGCTGTCTCTTGCCTCTGGTTTTTTGGGAAGATTAAATATGTGAAGAATTAAATATATTGAGTAAAAAGGAATTAATTTTAGTAGGCTAAAAATTTATTTTTTTACTAGACCAGCTAAGTTTTGTTTTATGGGAAATTCAGTTGAAAAGGAATATAAAACCGTATTACTGGTACAAATGTATGTGGGTTTTTTTTTTAAGTCAGTCTTTCCAGTCTTGATGTCCTATGTTTGAATCAGTGATGTTCAGCTTTGTTAAAAAATAAACACCTATTTATATATTCACTGAGGTCACTGATTATCAGCCCTCTTTGGAGGGAGGAGGTACAGTGTGTGTCAGGATCTCCAAATGCCCACCTTTGTGATTTGTGAGAACAAGATGGAATGTTGTGATTTGATGTTTGGGAAGCAAAAGAATAAACCAAGTGTTTTTGCTGTGTAAGTGTGAAAGCTAATGTTCTGAGAATTTTCCTTGGCTGCTGAGTTTGAGTGAAAGAGAGGGAAGAACTGTGATGCCCTTTCCCCGCCTGCCCCAGGCCGGCTGTTCTGATGGCAGCATTCGGCTGCACCGCCTGACTGCAGAGCGCCCGATCCTGCAGTGGGACCACAGCACCTGCGGCCACGCCGTCGCCAGCCTGCAGTGGTCCCTGACGAGGCCGGCTGTGTTTCTGGTGCAGGACGACACGTCCTGTGTGTACGTGTGGGACCTCCTGGAGAGCGATCTGGGGCCTGTGGCCCGGCAGCCCATCTGTCCAGACAGGTGAGACTGGGAAAGCCCAGGGTGAGACGCCACAGGTGACTTTCTGCAGACCCATCACTGATGGTCTTCTGTCTTGGTTTATGTATAAGGCCACCATACTTTATTGTTGTGTTAATCTCTCAGTCCTGTCTGACTCTGCAGCCCCATGGACTGTAGCCCGCCAGGCTCCTCTGTCCATGGGATTCTCCAGGCAAGAATCCTGGAGTAGGTTGCTATTTCCTTCTCCAAGTTTATATTCACTTATATTTATATATTTAAATTTAAATATTATTTTTATATTTAAGTTCTGAAAAAGCCACTTTAAAATGGGTTTATTTCATAATAGCCCCAAATAGTCTCAGGATTAAAGAAGTATTATCTATTGTTTTTTGTTTATATTGAGGTATAATTGATGTAAAATATGCTAGTTTCAAGTGTACAATATAATAATTTGATATTTGCATATATTATCAGAGGATTACATCTGTTACCTCACATAGTTTCAGAATTTTTTTCTTGTGATGAGAACTTTTAATGTTTACTCTTTTAGCAACTTTCAGATTTGCAATAGTGTTATTAAGTACATTTGTCATGTATACTACTTCCCATGACTTGCTGTTTTATGACTAGAAGCTTGTACGCCTTCACCCATTTGGCCCACCCCCACCCCTTCATTTGGCCACCAGTCAGTTCTGTGTGTGTGAGCTGAGCTTGTTTTAGATGGGGGAGGCTCACGTGTGAGTGAGATCACATAGTATCTGTCCTCTGACTGACTTCACTTCGAGTGATGCCCTCAGGGTCCATCCGTGTTGTCACCAGTGGCTGACAGAGAAGCTGTAGGAGCCAGACCCCCTCCCGTGGCCGCACACTGACTCACAATTGAGCCTTGTTGGTTTTGGCCCAGAGTCGGTGCTGAGGATGCTGTGGCCTGTGTGAGGGAGACTTTTCCCAGTATGAATTTTCCTGTACCGTGGGGTTGCCCCAATACTTAGGTTGTTTCTGTGTCCTGCTGTTGTGAGCAGCGCTGCGGTGGACATGGGGATGTCCCACACCCGACTCTTATGTTGTTTCCACATCCTGGCTATTGTGAGCAGTGCTGCAGTGGACATGGGGATGTCCCATACCCAACACTGAGGTGGTTTCCATGTCCTGCTGTTGTGAACAGTGCTGCAGTGGATGTGGGGATGTGGATATCTCTTTGAGATACTGACTTCATTTTCTTTGGATAAATACCCAGGAGTGGAATTGCTGGATCTATGTTAGTTCTATTTTTAAATCTTGAGAAGCCTCCACACTGTTTTTCACTGTGTCTTCACCAGTTGACGTTCCCATCTACAGTGCCCGAGGGCTCCCCTCTGTCTGTGTCCTCACCAATGTTTGTTATTTCATATCTTTTTGATGATGGCCATTCTGATGTTGATATCTCAGTGTTGTGAGTTGATATCTCAGTGTAGTTTTTATTTGCATTTCCCTGTTGATTAGTGATGTTCAGCATCTTTCCACATGTCTTTTGCCATCTGTGTGTCTTTTTTAGAAAAATGTCTGTTCAGGTCTTCTGCCCATATTGTAATTGGATTACTTCTGGTTTTTTTTGCTATTTGGTTGTATGAGTCTTTATATATTTTAGATATTAACTCTTTAACAGACATAGGATTGGCAAATGTCTTCTCCATCTCTAGGTGGCCCTTCCCGTTTGTTTCTGGCTTCTTCTACCTTCTTAGTCATCCCACCTGTTTGCTTTTGGAGTCAGATCCAGAAAGCCATCCCCAGACTGATGTCAGAGAGCTGCCCACTGTGTTTTCAGCATTCCTCTTCCTCCTGCTACACCTGGGGGAGGCGGGTAATCAGTTGACTCAGGGTCATACCGCATGTGCTTCTCGATTTCAGGCTGCTGGCAATGACCGTTGTGGGGGAAGCAGAGAAAACCCACGGTGGCTTCCTGGCCCTGGTGCTGGCCAGAGCCTCTGGGAGCGTGGACGTCCAGTACCTGCGGCAGGAGTGGGCAACCCCGGCCAGTGACGAACTGCAGAGGCTGCGGCTGCTGCTGCGGGAAGCCCCGTAGGTGGTGGGACCCCGAGATGAAGTCATGCAGTGGCTCCAAGCTTCCATTGGATGCATGTACATTTGTATAGATAGAAGGCATGTGTCTGTACAGAATTCATTTTTCAAAACTATCACTTCAATACGCCATAAATAAATCACTATTTTTGAATGGAAACAGCAAATCTTTTAGTGTATACTAAACTGCAAAGGCAACAGAGAGCCATATGGGACACTGTTTTCCAAGGATATTTCTACTCATTTTCAAAACAGCTTTGTAAAATTTATTATGAGATGTTTAAACACTCCAAATGAAAATATATTTTAATGAACAGTTTTCTTAGTCTTTTATAAAATGACATATTCACTGGTTTAAATTAAAGACCTGACTCCAGTGAAATGACCTCCCACTGTGTTTTCTTAGGACTTTCTTACGCTTCTTCTACTGGAAATGGAACGTCTACTGAGGCACGTTTGCTTTATGCTTTAGTGTTAATAGTTGGCTTTGTGTAAAGATGATGTGAGTGCATAAGTTCTCTTAACTATGCAGTTATCATAGCAGTTTAGGGGCAGGAGAACCCTGGGCTGACGGCCTCTGCCCACACCCAGTATCACTGACATGGTGACAGGTGAGTGGTCAGCGGGGGGAGGGGTTTGTTCTTCTTTCTGGGCCACAAGCAGCTGCTGCTTTGTGCCAGCGACAGGAGGGTTAAACCCAGAACTGGCAGCCGGCAGAGAATACAGGCTCCCAGGGCCCCGCGTTTCTAGTAAATCCCTCAGCTGCTCATGGTCCTCTTAGAGCCCTGTGCCCTGCTGCGCCTGCTGGCACGGCCCTTGCTGTGGCTGGCTCAGAGCCACTTCCTCTCCGAGGCCTCCCTGGTCCTGTCTCTGGAAGTCTCCTGCTGCTGTTTAGTCCCTCAGTTCTCTGACCCTCTGCGACCCCGTGGACCGCAGCACGCCAGGCCTCCCTGTCCTTCACCACCTCCTGGAGCGTGCTCAGACTCAGGTCCGTCGAGTCGGTGATACCATCCAGCCATGTCATCCTCTGTTGTCCCCTTCTCCTCCCTCCTTCAGTCTTTCCCAGCATCAGTCTTTTCCCGTGAGTTGGCTCTTCACATCAGGTGGCCACAGTGTTGGAAGTTTAGCCTCAGTTGCCTTCTGGCTGCTCCGTAAGTGCCAGCCTCGGGGTCTCTGCCCACTTGTGGATGAGCTCCAGGGAGTGCGAGTGCGCTTGTCGCATTGGTGGTCAGAGCCCCAGATTCTGCCTCAGCCCAGCTCTGGCTCCCTGAGGGTTTCCCGGAGGAGGGGCTGAAGGAATCTCTAAGGAGAACTGTATCAGCATCACTGCTTCAGTGCGAAAACTTCACTTTGAAAGTGTTCAGCCCTCCATTCATCTTTTTTTCCTGAATGGACTAAAGTACCTGAAGGTAATTTGGCTTCTCTATCTAGCTATTTGTAATCTTGTGTTGCTTTTTTATATTTAACACAGATTAGAGGATAAGCAATCAAGACAGGAAACCGTAAACAAGACTGGTCCAGGGTCTGGTCTGTGGGTTTGAGCTCCATCCTCTGGACACTCGCCTGCGTCCGCTGAGGGTTTTGCTCCTTCCGTGCGATCGGTCCAGGGAGACAGTTCGTTGTGTGGTGTGGTGTCGATACCCCGGAACCGACAGGTCTGAAACAACAGACAGAGCAAAGCAGAGTACAGAGCTCCTCAGAGCCCCGCGTCTGTCCCGCACCCTCCGCCAACCTGGTTCTGCCCCTTCCTGCGCGGGGAGCCCTGCATCTGCCCCGCACCCTCCACCGGACCCAGTTCCGTCCCTTCCTACGCGGGGAGCCCCACGTCTGCCCCCCACCCTCCACCGGACCCTGTTCCATCCCTTTCTGCACGGGGAGGCCTGTGTCTGCCCCCCCACCCTCCACCAGACCCGGTCCTGCCCCTCCCTGCGTGGGGAGCCCCCCCCCCGCCCCCGCCTGCCCCTTACCCTACGCCCAACATTTGCAGATGTTCGTGGAACCGCCCCTTGCGCCGCCCTGAGCCTTGGAGTGGCTCCGCCTGCTGGGTCAGCAGCCGCCTCCCAGCACAGCCAGGTCCTCAGGGGTTTGTGAGCGGCGCTGAGCTGAAGCTCTAAATCTGTCAGGATTCTTTAATTTGTGTACAGTTAGAAGAGAAGACTTCTCTTAAATATCGTGGTATCATCTTATAGTTGTTGCAGGGAGGAAGCCAGTTCTGACTCCATGTTGGAACCTGTTTCTTTGGCTTGTTTTTATTATTAACAGTCATATTCAGTGGCTTGCCTGCAGGACCCTGCCCCTCTGCTCGACTGTAAACTAAACTGCCTTGTTCAGCTCAAGGAGAGACAGTTCATCCCTGCCCGCTTGTGAATAGAAGAGGTTAACAGACCCCTTCCAAAGGCTGGACAGTCCCTTGGAGATGTTTTGCAAGACTAAAGACCCTTTGGCCACCTGATGCGAAGAAGTGACTCATTTGAAAAGACCCTGATGCTGGGAAAGATTGAAGGCGGGAAAAGAAGGGGTCGACAGAGGATGAGATGTTTGGATGGTATCATTGAGTCAATGGACATGAGTTTGAGTAAATTCCGGGAGTTGGTGATCGACAGGGAAGCCTGCTGTCCTGCAGTCCGTGGTCACGACGAGTCGGACATGACTAAGCGACTGAACTGAACTGAAAGACCCTTTTACTTCACTTCCCCACTGCATCTCCCTCTCTATTCTGCCTTTTGACTTTAGTTCCTCATTGCTCCTTTCTCTCTGATCTATAAAAGAACCTGGCGTCCAGACCCCAGTAAGATGGTTATTTTCAGGCACTAGCCTGCTATCCTCTTGGTCTGCCAGTTCCCGGACTAAAGTCTCTTCCTTGTCTCAACACCTCGTCTCTCAGATTCATGGCTCATGGTCAGGCTCATGACAATGCAGTGAGCAGAGTGAGCTTGGACTCAACACAATGATACAGTATTACTGGTTCTTGCTCACAGTTTTACTTGGATAAAGATATAACCTATCACACATCAAGGACTCACCAAGGGCTGGAGATATATATCCAGTTTTTCAACAAATAATCTCACACTGTATTCTGTGGTTAAAAAAATAATAAAAGATTTACAAATAAACTAAATAAGTAAATAAGAAAAAGATAATTGTATTTGGACCATCCAGAGGCAAATATCTTTAGTTTTACTGGATTTCTTTCCTGTGTCTTTTTTTCTCACTTTTTAAGCAACTTTATTGAGATACAATTCACATATAATACAGTTTACCCATTTACAGTGTGCAGTTCAGCGGCTTTGGTGCTAAACCACCAGCCTAACCAGGGTTGGGACTTGCCTGGTGGCCCAGTATTAAAACTCCACCTTCCAGTGCAGGGGGGGAGGGTGCCATCCCCCATCTGAGAACTGAGGCCCCACATGCCACAGAGCTACTGAGGCCACCCTCCACAAGTAGATAGTCCGTGCACCGCAAGAAGATCCCGTGTGCCGCAGACCCAACACAGCCGAGTAAACTCAGCTTTAGAGCATTTCTGTATCTGCAGAAAGAAATCACGCATCAATAGCAGTCTCGCCCCATGGTCCCCAGTCCCACCAACCCAGGATAAACACGGATCTACTTCATGTCTCTGTAGATTTGTCCATTCTGGATATTTCATACAAATGGAATCACATATATTATGTGGCCTTTTATGACTGGATTCTTTCACTTACATAATGATGTTCACAAGATTCTTCTATGTATCAGTACTCCATTTCTTTTTATTCAATTGTATGGCTGTACCACATTTTGTTTATTCATCATCTGGACACTTGAATTGTTTCCAGTTTGGGGCTATTGTGCTACTGGGAGTATTTGTGTACTAGTTTTTGTGTGTCTTCATTTTACTCGGGTATGCACCTCAGAGTGGAATCCTTGCCAACACTCACCATCTGACATTCTGATTATAACCTGTGTGTGCATTGGTGTCTCACTGTGGTTTTGATTTGTGTTTCCCTAAAGATCAGTGATATTGAGCATTTTCTCATGTGCTTATCGGCCATTCATACATATCCGCCCTTTACAGAAAAGTGTATTCAGATTGTTTTACCATTTTTAAATTGGGCAATTTATCTTTGAAATTTTTGACTAGTGTTTTTCATTTATTTTTAGATATGTCTCTTATCAAATATATGATTTACAAATATTTCCTCTAATTTTGTTGATTGTCTTTTCACTTTCTTGATGGTTTACTTTGTAACACAATTTTCCAATCTTGATGATATCCAGTTTTTTTTTTCCTTTTGTTGCTTGTGCTTTTGGTGTTATGTGTAAGAGGCTTTGCCTAACAAGAAATTGCAGACTTACTGTATGCTTTTTAGGTGTATTCTAGTTTTAGCTCTTAAATTTAGTTGTTTGATCCATTCTGGTTAATTTTTGTACATAGTGTGAAGTAGATAGGGGCCCAATATCATTCTTTGCATGTGACTATACCATTGTCTTTTTAATGAGATATTTATATGCAGTCAGGATGAAAATCCTGCCCCTTGCTCCTCTTCCATGTTGTCCTTTAAGACATGTTTGGTCCATCCATGGAGAAGGTCAGCCTCCTCAGTAGCGCTGAGCCTGGCCACCCTTTCCTACAAGGCCCAGAGAGAGCGCCTGCCTTCCTCCCATATTTTTGGGCCGCACTCTGCTCTCTGCAAGAACTAAGAACTAGGTTCCTAGCTCTGTGTTGCACCAAGGGCTCCATTCTAGTGGACACTGAGTTCTTCTTGGTGGGTGCTTTGGGGTGATTTTAGAAGGTAGCTGTGAGGATGCAAAGTAAGATTTGAAGATGTTTCCGAAGGTCTTGGGTTTTTTAACAAGTCACAAAGGGGTATATTGAAATCGCACTTCTCTTATTTTTATAAGAAATAGAGCATCAGGTAATCTAGGGTCAGCGTTAAGGCTTAGTGAAGCATAGTTATTCTTAAATAAAATCAAGAATATGACCCATCCCATAATGCTCAACCCTGTCATTTATAAAAGAAAGTC